CGGCATCCCATATGGGCGCTAGGTTCTAGTCCCGGCTGCTCCTCTTCCAATCCAGCTCTCTGCTGTGGCCTGGGAGGGCAGTGGAGGATGCCCCATGGGCGCCTGCACCCGCGTGGGAGACTAGGAAGAGGTTCCTGCCTTTAAATCTGCACAGCGCTGGTCTGGCCTCCCACTCATCCATCTCAACCTGTGTTCCTTCTCACATTGGCAGCCCCTCTTCCAAAGCCCTAGGCAATTCTGTCCCCTATTTGTATAAATCCTATCCCCTCAAAACGCCCCCCCCCCCATCAAGGCCTCATTCTGGTGGCCTGAGCTTATCACTCGTCTCAGCAGTCCGCCGGCCAGAGCGAGCGACTTAGACAGGACTGGCCCATAGAACCCCACCCAGGAAGACCTTTCAGGCCGAGTACCACAGCCCTGGGGGCACCTGATCATGGCCACAGCAGGATGTTGAGGGCCAGTTCACCCCTGGGGGGAAGGAGGCCTCTGCCTGGAGAGCATGGCTGGCCGGGGCCACAGCTGGACCCGGAGGGGACTCAGAAAACCTCCATGGGGTGGGGGGGCGTCCCCAACACAGTCCTGATGCCTGGCCTTCTGGACACCTGAGCTCTGGGAGTGACCGGCTGGACAGGTGTGCCCAAGAACCGTCCACTCTCTTGGTGGTGTGCAAATGGGGCAGGCTCACCTTGGCACCGTGCCATGGCACGCAGGGCCTTCAGGTTTCTCCACATCTGCTTCCCACCGGGTACTTCCAACACCAGCTCCTGGCTACTTTCCTTTCTGTCCCTTACAGGACGTGTCACCATCACCGGGGCCAACTCCGCTTCCCCACCCCCAGCCCTTCTTCTGCTTTGCATCTCTCGCCAGGAGGCACCTTTGGCTTCACACCGGGCAGCACTGGGTTGTAGCCAGTCCGATGGCAGAAACCAGCCTGGTTCCGCCGGTCCTCTCCTAGCCGCGCCTTGCCCTGAGCCTTGCTCTAACAGCTCTGCCCTCAGCAGTCACACCTGATCTGAAGGCAGCAGGCTTCGTGTTCACCTCTAGGGTGGGGAGGGAGCAGCCCCGGCCTGATTCCTGATTGCAGGGAGAGACCTGCCCCTGGGGCTCTGGTACTCAGGAGCCAACTGGCCACCTAGATGCTTGCTCTGTCATCACTGGCACGGGCAGTGCTGCGATCTGAGTAGTGCCCTCTCCCCATCTCATGCATAATGTCACTATGAAGGCGGAACTAATCCATTTAGTAAGGAGCCCGCCATGTGCTGCCCAGTGAGGCCGTTCGCTGTGCAACAATACAGCTAGAGGGGCGCTTCCAAGCTTCCTGGGGCCATGCTGTTTGGATTTGCAGCTAAGTCAACCTCTTATCTAGTTAGCCTGCCCTCAGGCATTTCGTTATAGTCCTGAAAAGCTGACCAATGGGACAGGGCCCCTCTCAAAGGGGCTGGAACTGCAGCCAGGTGAGGTGTGTTGTACCAGAGTGCGGGTTCCAGTCCCAGCCACTCCACTTCCCACCCAGCTGCCTGCTAACGTGCCTGGGAAGGCAGCAGCAGATGGCTCAGGTACTAGGGCCCCTGCTCCCAACATGGGAGACCTGGAGGGTGATCCAGGCTCCTGGCTTTGGCCTGGCTCAGCCCCAGACATTGCAACCATTTGCGGGGAGTGAACCAGTGGATGGAAGTGTGCTTGCCAGCCATCTCTCTGTGTGCCATTTAGCCTTTCAATTAAATCTTAAAAAAAAAAAAAAAAAAAAAGCGCAAGCAAATGTTTCTAGGATCTGTTCCCGCAGGTGCAGAGCTACGTGGACCGCATGAATTTGGGGGCATAAATGCCAAGTTTTCAGATTCTCTCCGGCTGGCTGACGACCACAACTCTTCACCACCAGGCTGAAATATTTATTTGAAAAAAAAAACGGAAAACACAGATGCACTGTATTATACAAAGAAAGGTCTGGAGAGCATAACAAAAGTATCATTGGAAGAAAAACAAAGGCCAGTGGCTACCTGTCCTGGGCAGGCGAGCACTCGGTGACAAGTGAAGTTCATGGGAACTATCCTAATGCAAAAGTGGGAGGAGAGGTCACCAACGGAAGAAAAAAACAAACCAATCCCAACCCTGCAAACCTCAGCGAAAGTCTGTGGTTAAGTTTGAGACGTGCGTGTCACCACCAAGATGGAACCGAACCCCTCGCTCCGCCCCCGCGGGTGGTAACCGGGTTCATTTAGGGCCTTCAAACCTGAGGTAGTTGAGGGTCACCTGCAAAACACATTCTGGAAGGATCCACTCAGAATGGGACCCGATGGTGTCCACCCGCAGGGCTGTGGCTCCTGGGGCAGGTGGGGACTGGTCCCATGTCTGCTGTGGCCCTGGGTGATGGAGGAGCAGATCCACCCCTGGCTGGGGGGTGGTGGCTTTCTACGCTACGGGTGGTGCAGTCTCTGGGGGGCCAAGGATGGCAGAGAAAGACAACTGCCACCCTGGCAGGAAGGCCAGCCCAGGGGCTGAAGGCTGTCCTTGGCAGGGGGGGCTTCCAGAGACTTGGAGAGGTCGCAGCAGGTGGCAGGGCATCTGTTACCACTGTTGTCCGCCAGTTCCTCCATCCTGGAGCCGAGAGGCCAACGCGCGGGGATCCGAGCCGCATGACACGGCCGCTGTCAGCCCAGCGCTACCTGGTATAAACCTCGCTGTCTGACTTGGTAGCCGAAACAATTGCAAGAAAGATGTGCTCTGGACAGTGTGCGTGGGTCTTCCAGCCTCTGGGGTCGGGCCTTGTGTTTCATGAGCGAGCCTCGAGCCACCGCTGTCGCAGTCTAAATTATCTGCTTTCAATGCCTCGCTTGGATATAAAACGACCCACAAAGGTAGGTCTCATATTGTTTTTTTTTTTTCCCCTTGCTATTTACACAGATTTCCTTATTCTAACAGGATTAGAATACTGTATTACAAAATTAAATAACATGTATTTCAAGCGTATTCATTCCCAAGGTGTAATTCTGTTGCCGCCCTGTCTTGTCCTGACCCACACACGCTTCGGTCCCCAAAGAGACCCGTGACACTTCTGTCACTGCTGGCACCCAGGGACTCAGCCCAGCTGCGTGAGGTTCATTTTTTTAGCTTTCAGACGCCACTTCCTGTTTCAATCCAAGGCAGCACATGCTGACGCTCACAGTCTGTTTTAGACTAGCCGAGGCCTGGCCCTTGGATTCTGGTTCAAGAACGGAGTGGTTTCCACGCTTGGCTGGCGCCGAGGTAACCACACTACGTCAGATGGCTGTTGCCTTGCATGGCGCTGCCTTGGCGTGCGCTCCTGTCTGAGTGCCTTCTCGGCTGTTCCATCACTCAGGCTGAGCCCAGGGAGGTTTACGAAATTATCATGGCTTCTTTTAGAGGGAGTGTTATCATATGGAGACTACCGTCTGGTTACGATCAAACACATCAGATAGCCTTCCCCGCCACTGGCGACGTGGAACACGTGGCTGAGCGGCCGTGACTGCCAGGATGGGCGTGAATGGCACAGCCGAGTCAAGGCTGCCACACACTGCTCCCCGGGACGGACGAACGCGGAGTGCGAAGGCTGCCCGGCATGCACCCTGGACACCTCCGTGGCCTGGCCCGGAGGTTCCTGGGCCTGAGTACGGGAATCAGAGTTCTCGGGAGAGAGTTTTGTGAGTGTCCCACTTAGAAAATGCAGAGACGAAGAGTGGGGAGGGGGAGGGAGTTGGTTCACAGTGATCAGACAGAAGTCTCACAACCTGTCACGTGGCGAAGCTGAGCACTGTTCCTTGGGACAGGTCCTGGGAAGCTGGCTACGACCTAGGAGCTGCTACAGAGAAGGAAGACGTTGTTTTTCTTTTTTCTTTCTTTTTTTTTTTTTCTGAGCTCAGAAGGGCACTTAAATGTTGGGGTCCGTTTGGGAGAGGAAAAGTGCTGGCAGGCCGCCTGCCTGGAGGAGGCTGCTCCCGTAGCCCTCATCCTGTTGTGGGGACGGGCAGGCTGGGAAGCAGTTGGAGCAGTGGCTACCCCATCTTGTGTTCCCAATCCAAACGCTCCAAGGAAGCCGCGTTCTCTGGGGGTGGGGGTGGGGGTGGGGGGGTGGCTGGGCGGGGGTGCAGGCCAGCAACAGTCCGGGAGTGGCATCTCGGGCCTCGTTTGGGTGCCCTGCCGACAATGTCACAGGGCAGGGCAGCAGTGCAAACCTTAACAAGGCCACACCTGAGACCCCGATGGCTCCCAGAGTCCTTGCTGCTCCCAGGAGGTTAGGAATAAATACGACAGGGCCCGGCCCAGCCCAGCACTGGGGGGTGCTCCTGATGCGGGCAGGGCTGTCCGACCGTTGGGGTCTAGCCAACGGGTAGAACGTGGAACTGTTCAGAGGGTGCCGCGGCAGACATGTGGCCGAGGAAGTGGCCCGGCTCTCTCCGAAGGCCCTGCTGGGCGGGCCGGGGCACGGACTAGCTCTGGAGTGGGGGGAGCTGCGCTGTCACCCTTGGCCGCTCCATTCAAGCACACGTGGGAAGGTTTTGGAGCCCCCCAGGAGCTGGCCCCCGAAGGCCTGGGCTGGGTGTGCGGCTCCATCCACTCGTCCTGGGACCCTGTCACCCGCGAGGCTGGACAGAGGCTTTCGGCTGGGGTGCGGCTTTAGGGACCAAAGGCACTCGCTCTGTTTCTGCCTCTGTCACCAACCCTGGCGAGCGGCCTGGGCTGCCCAGCGCATGCTCAGCAGGACACCCAGCAAGGAGGTGGCCGGGGTGGAGCACCAAGGTGACGCCCGAGCAGCACCGTGGCTGTGACTGCCGTGGCGTGGGGGCCCCCAGGCAACCCGGAGCGCCTGGGCTGCGGGTGGGAGCCATCGCCACGGTGTTCACAGCCTGGACACTCCTGCCATTGCCGACAGCACAGACCCAGTGCAGCGTCCTAGGCTGGAATACCCACCAGCCCTCGGACACGCACGAGTTTGTGCCTGTGATGAAACGGAAAAGGCTGAGAAGAAGAAGGAAAAAAAAACCCCACACACATATACACATACACACAGAAAAGGAAAGGCGTGGGCTCTCCCCTTGCCACGCTGGCCACACGTGCACCCTGGAAGGAGGCTGCTGACCACTGCGGGGTTCAACCAGAGGGGCGCTGGCTGCCCGGGAGCCGCGTGTGCCCACCTCTTTGGACCTGGGCTTGCTCCCTGGCTTGCACAGGCTGGCCCGGACACTCGGGACGCGGGTGGCAGGTTTGCACAGAGAGGGTGTCAGGGTGCGGGGCGCCTTTGCAAGGGGCGGGCCCTCAGCACTGGGCAGCGGGGTGTCCAGGGGTTGGGGTCTGTGGCGGGGGCAATGACACACGCACAGAAGGGTCACGAGGATTTACACTCTGACGTTACGGGGCGCTGGGCGGGCTCTAGTCTTTCTCGGTCGCTGCGTCCTGCGGGGTAGGTGGAGACGCTTCTGTTCCTAAAAAGACAACGACAGTTTACATGGCGCAGCGTTGCCTGCACGCACGCACGCACGTGCTCGGCTGAACCCCTGAAACTGCCCTGCATGGGGCTCTCACCCACACGGTCATCACAACCGCGGCATCACCCGGACACCCCACTGCTGTGTCTAGCAGGAGCAGACCCCAGCTAAGGCGGCTGCCACAGTCGGCCAGGGTAGACAAGAGTCAAGAATCTTTGGGCACATGGAAAACAGCACGTGCCACCTCCGGCGGATGGATGGCAGAATGTGGGTGGGGCAGCCCCTCCACTCTGCGTCTCCTCCTGTAGACATTCCTATTGGCTCAAGACAGGTTCAAGCTTGTAATTCACCTGCCTGAGCACCAGTCATTCACGACAAACTCCCGCCTCCCGGGGAGTCACCCAGGGAGAGAGTCCGTCCCGCGATGGCTGGGTCTCACGGGTGACAACAGCACTTTCGCTTCACACACATCTACCCATCCTCAGTTACCCTCACTGCCGGGGCGGCCAGCCCTGCGGGGTCAGCTCACCTTCTTCCCAGCCCTCGGCGACACCTGCAAGTTCATAGTGCTTTTTCCGAAGCTCTCCCAGCTTCTGACGCTCCTTCTGCAGGTCATTCTCCAGCTCCAGCACCCTGACCTGTGCCGAGAGAAGGCGGGGTTTCTGACGCCTGCCTGGCCTCGGCTCAGTCCCTTTCCTGTGAGTTCCGGCTCTGCTCGTGCATGGCAGTCTTGGGTTTCCATGGCACCCCCAGTCCTCTCTGGTCGTCTCATCCATCCACCTGTGCCAGCGGCTCTCAGCCTTGGCCGCTGACCACTTCCACTGGGAATGAATGACGCCTTACAAACCGATGGCCAAGCTCCTGTTCCCGTGAGGAAGTCACTGCAGACGACCCTAGCGCTTAGCCTACCCACGTGGTGGGTTCCAGGCTAGCGGGAACCCCTCTCCTTCTATCCCAGGACCCCGAAACTCCAGACAGGAGGACTCTGGCCCCTCTACGGACAGCCTTACTAAAGGAAGAGGTGGTTCTTGGGTTAGCCCTGTGCCTCACCAATTTAATTAACTAGTTGAAATATTTATTTACTTATTTGAAAAGGAGAGAGAGAGAGAGAGAGAGAGAAAGAATGAGTATCTTCCATCTACTGCTTCACTCCCCAAATGGCTGCAACAGCTGGGGCTGGGCCAGGCCCAAGTCATCTGGCTCTCCCACGTGGGTGGCAGGGGCCCCAGCACTCAGGCCATCATCCACTGCTTTTCCAGGTGCGTTAGCAGGGAGCTGGATTGGGAAGTGGAGCAGCTGGCACTCTGATACGGGATGCCAGTCCAAGTGGCAGCTTAACTCACTGAGCCGCGGCGAGTTAAGTTTATAATTTGTTAACTTAATATCTGCTGAGCGTTCAGCATGGACCGGAACGTCTGTTCCAAGTGCCAGAGACACAGGGGCGACATGCTTACCGTGCAGCGGACAAGAGACATAACCGAACGAGAAAAGTTCAGATTGTAAGGAAAACGACACACGGAGGGGTGTGGCTGACTAAGGGTGTCAGCAAAGGCCTCGCTCAGGAAGTCACTTTTGGACTGGCACCTGGATGGTGGCTATGGTTTGAACTCGGGGGAATATTAAAACCCCCGAGTCATAAGTTAACGGTATCAAGTAGATGAGAAACTATCCATGTGTGCTATCTGGGAGGCGGGCCTGGGGGAGGTCCCGAGATCATAGGGGCGGGCCGGCCCTTGGAAGGCGGTTCCTGTGCAAAAGGGGTGGTTATCAAAGCCTGGATCACCAGGCGGGGGTGGGAATATTTTTCTCGTCTTGTCAGTATTCCCTAAATCATCCAGCCAAGCCTCTGGCCCCACCCTCCCAAGGTCAAACTTGAACTTGAGCCTCCAGAAAGGGTGAGCTGCACAAATCCTTTCTCTTCCTAGCTTTAGTTGCTCAGGCATTTTGTCATAGTAACAAAAAGGTGACCAATAACGGTGGCCCAAGGAGCTCAGCCCCTTGGAGAACTGCGTACGGCTCTCTCCAGAGAGACCGGGAGGGACAAAGGCTGTGAGGGCAACGCATGGGCAAGACGGATGGTGTCATGCGTGGGATGAGAAAGCTGCCAGGGGTCATGAGATGAAGCCAGAGGTGTTTCACCCAGGCCCATGGGTTGGGGTCAAGGAGGAGATGAACGCAGGCTGGGGACAAGGACTTGGTACCAATTCATCGCAGAAGGATGGGGTTTCAAGCCAACAGGATCTCGGGGATGTGTCTGGCGCTGTGGTTACGTCCAGTGTCCTCGAGCCCTATTCGAGCCCTGGCTCCTTCTACTGCCAGTCCAGCTTCCCACACCCTGGGAGGCAGCAGGTAATGGCTCAAGTCCCCTGCCACCCACTTGGGGAGACCCGGGGTGGAGCTCCTGGTTCCTGGTTTCCACCCAGCCCAGCCCAGGCTATTGAGGACACTTAGGGGAGTGGACCAGCACAGGGAAGATCTCTTTTCTCTGTGTCTCTGCCTCTGAAACATAAATAGTGAACGGCATTCGCAGACTTCTAGGACATCCCTGGTGGCATTTAGAGGAATGACAGTCTCAACCTCAGTCCCGGGCAAGGGTTGAGAGTCCAGTTCTGGGCTGGTGCGTGCATCTGTGTTCATGCCCCTCCACCCCAAGAGTCCATCTCTCCATCTGGTCTCCCTCCAGGGGAGTAAAACTGGGGGTCCCTGTCTCAGCGCTAGGGACCACCTAGATTTAGAGGCGAGCTTCTCACCTGGGAGTCCATCTCCTGACGTTTGATCTGGGTCAGGGTCATGCTTGAGAAGTCCATACTGTCTGCAAGGACAGAAAACAGAATGTCTTGGCGAAAAAGCATTCCTGGCTGATGCATACTTGAGGCAGCCGATGCTGACGCTGACACTGACGCTGACGCCGATGCCGACACTGTGCATGGAAAAGGAACCGAGGGCCCTGGGCAGGAAGGAAGCATGAAGGGCTCATGGTGGGCCCTGGAACGCACCTGTCTCCTCGATCTGCGATTTGCCCGAAATGGTTGAGGCCACGACCCCGGCGGTGGCCTGGCTCACTCCCCGAGACGCCTGCTGCAGCTGGGCTAGGTTGGGGCTGTCCTTATCGGCTTTCACCTGCCATGACAGAGTAGACTTAGGTTCACACTCACAATCCACATCATCACCCACCAACGTCTCGCAAACGGCTGCCTACGGGGTCAGCTCCTGGCATGTCTATAACATAACAAACGTTCCTGGCCCATCGGCTCGGTGGCCCCAGGCACTGGCATTGTCACCAATTTGGATCACCTGTTCTAGTTGTGAAAACCCATTTGGGACCATCAGAGATAAGGAGACTTAAGAGCCCTTGCTGGGATCTGAGCTGGCTACAGGTGTGGTGAGACCAGTGGCTGGGTGGGGCGCTGGGAGGGGGCGGGGAGGGGGGCAGTGTTCAAGTTCAGAGATGAAGGAGGGAGGGGCAGATGCTCGTTCTGGAATGGGAGCCAAACCAGGTGTCCTGGTTCCATCGCTCCTTGAATGTCTGTCGGGGCTGCTAATCAGGTGCTGGCGTGGCTGGGACCCTCGCGTGGGGAGCTGGGGACGGGGGCTCTTTGGCAACAGACCAGATGCCTTTAGTGGAGAATGGCGTGGGAGCCCGGGGAGGCACGCTTTGTGTGTGAGACCCCACCACCTTGACTGTCGAGGCCAGCTGCACTGTGCAGATGGTCCCCAGGCTCCGGGGGTTGAGCCACGGGGTCCTACCTTGGATGCAGCCACCAGCTGGGCTGTGCTAGCAGCAATTTCGCGTGAACACACCATGAGCTCCTCGAATTTCCCTCTGCCTTGCACCACCAGGTCAGCTGCGTCCCTGACAGGAAAGAATGTGACAAGGGCCAGGTCAGAGGCAGCTCAGGACCCAACCCCTGCAGCCCCTCCCGTTGGCCCTGTCTAGACTAGAAGGGGACAATGCCAGCCCCGTCCTTGTCAACTCCAGCTTCCCTGTGAAGCCTTCAGTCTTTACCAACAACAGTTCCCTTCCAGGGGACTATGGGTCAAGGGAGCGGGACCGAGGGAGGGGACCGGGCGCTGTAGCCACTTACACCATGACGGTGGCTCCCCAGCCCACCGCTTTGGAGGCTGAGATGAGCCCTTCTGTCCAGCGAGAGTTCTTGGCATAAAATTCCTTAGGGGACGCAGTGCCCTGAGAGGGGAAAGGAAAGAAGGGGTCACCTTTTACCGAGCGCCTGCTCTGGGTCTACCACTTCGGTTGACGGGTCCTGGGTGGTCCTGGCTGGTCCTGGCAGTAACTCAGGGAGGGAACCAGTGGTCCCGTCCCATTGCTCAGGGGAGAAAACCAAGACCCAGAGAGGCGACTGTGCTCCCCCCTGGGGGGCACTGCACACTGTCAGTCCTGGGCATGTCTACTCTACCTCAATCTTCCTACCATAAGTCCCCTACTTCTGTGGACTCAACAAAACACTGCTCAGAATTAGTTGGCGGGGGTGGGAATATTTTTTTCCTCTTGTCAGTAATCCCTAAACCATACAGTAGGAGCAGCTGCTTCCATAGCACTGACACTGTATTTGGCCTAAGTCATGTAGAGAGGATTTGAAGTTTACGGGAGGGGACTGGTAATGTTAGGCAGCAAACTAAGCCTCCGCTTACAATGCTGACATCCAGCATTGGGGCACTGGTTCAAGTCCCGGCTGCTCCACTTCCAATCCAGTTCCCTGCTAATGGGCCTGGGAAAGCAGTGGAGGATGGCCGGAGTACCTGGGCCCCTGCCACCCACATGGGAGACCCGGATGGAGATCCTGGCTCCTGGATTCAGCCTGGCCCAGTCCTGGCCACTGTAGCCATTTTGGGGGAGTGAATCAGTGGATGGAAGATCTCTTTCTCCCCTTCAAATAAATGAATAAATCATAAAAACAAAAGTTATGAAAGGGAGCGTGCAGATTATGTACAAATATGATGCCATTTTATATAAGCAACTTGGCATTTCTGTGTGTGTGTGTGGGGGGGGTGGTGGGGAGGGTGTCCTGGCACTAATCCACAGTGGGTTTCAAGAGGAACTGAGATATCAGAACTCACACACTCAGCGATGAGTCAGTTATGATCTGGGGCGAGTCTAGCTGCTTTCCACCATTTCCCAAAAGATGGGAGGTCGCGATGAATAATTTACAAAGCATTACGTCTACTTGGAGTTCCAGAACATTCTCAGGCTTTGTTAGTGTCTGCCAGTGTGCCAGGCCCAGATGGATCAGGGGGCACCCCCAAAGCAGAAACGGCTGCTGGCTCCCTCCCTGGGCCCCTTCCTAGAGGGAGAGACAAACTGGGCCAGGCAGGGACCAACAGCCCAGCGACGGCAGAGCTGGTTGTGAGAGACAGCAGGGAGAGGACTCGGATGGAAGCAGACACGGCCAGACTCCCAGGAAATGTTGGTCCCAGGCATGTGTGTCCATCTGCCCAGGTTCCAGAAGCCCTTGTTCCTCTCAGAGGGCCTGGAAGTGCCGTGTAAGGAGGGTTCCCAGGGCCGGTGTTGTGGCGCAGCAAGTTAAGCAACCACCTGCCAAACTGGCATCCTATGTGGGCGCTGGTTCAAGTCCTGGCTGCTCCACTTCCGATCTGGCTCCCTGCTAACGCGCCTGGGAAGGCAGCGGGGACATGGTACGGAGTGCTTTGGCCCCTGTGGGAGTCCTGGATGGAGTACCAGACTCCTGATTTTGTCCCGGCTCAGTCCTGGCCATCGTGGCCATTTTGGGGGGTGAACCAGTGGATGGAAGATCTGTCTCTCTCTCTCTCTCACTCTGTAATTCTGCCTTTCAAATAAATAAATGTCTTTTTTAAAAAACAAAACAAAACAAAACAAAAAAAGAGGTTTCCCCGGTTGGGTCACAGCGGCGACTCACCAACCCAGACCACCCGACCCCAGGCTGATGACCGATCACGAGAAGGGGTGGCTCGCCCACGGGGGGTTCACAGGACCAGACATCAGTGCCGCTAGACCCCAGGGATCATGGAGTCAGACCTGCGCTCCCCACCTGCGGGCCCAGCCTGCATGCCTACCCGGCCGCTCTCTACAATCTCCCTCTGGAGGTCCTTGGAGGCCACAATCAGGACCTGAATGGCTTGCATCAGGCCGGTACAGGAGCCGAGGATCCTGGGAGAAGCAAAGCAGATAGTCAGGGCCGCGGGCATGCGGGAGCCCCAAGGACAGCAAGGCAGGCGAAGCAACCTCACTGTCACTGTGAATGCTGTCGCCCCCGGGGCAGCTCAGTTCCGCTCTGACCCCTGAACAGGTTTGCAGAGCACAGCCCCCGGCCAGCGAGACTCATCCTGCCCACACGAGTGCCACCGCCGCTCAGACCAACCTCTCGTTCACCTCCAGCTTCACGCCTGTGTCTCCTGCGCGGGATTTGCTCAGCATTTCCTGTTTTAAAAAAAAGCACAGTTTTCCAAACGCACCTCCAGGACCGAGAAGCCGGTTCTACTGTACCTCCCTGCGGAAGCTGGGGAACCTGAACTGGGGAGTCCCCAGGCAGGGAAGGGCTCTGGCCCCATCTCTGTGCAGGTGCAATGGGCAGTGACAGCAGGTGGAGCAGGCTGTGCGCCCTTTCCACACCCTGTCCACCTGGCACCTGGGCTTGTGTGCGCGGAACCCTGGCAGCCACAGGCCCGGGGGGTGCCAGAGGCAGGTGCTCACACCTCAGGGGGTGGTCTGGGCCCCTCCAGCGAGGGAGCAACCTGGGACCTTCCCCACGGCGCCCGCTAAGCTTTCCGTGAATGAACCTCCCATGAGGGGGCGCCACCAATTTCTGGAGTGCTTGGCACCCAGAGGGAGATGGGCACTGTCTCATGTCACCCGTGCAGCAGGCCCCTGGCGTGGGTACGATGACTGCTGCCACTGTGGAAATGGTACAGGGATCCTACAGCAGCCGGAAGGCTTGGAAGGGGTCTGTCTGGAAGTCGACCCCCGGATGTGCTCACACTGCAGTGGCTCCTTAAACGGCTCACTGCCCTTCTGCAAGGACTTACTGTTTTCTGACCCTTGGATTGGCATGGCTTGGGTAAATGGGGGTGGGGGAGGGGCATGTGTCTGTGGCTTTGATGAGAGACTGTGACACGTGCACTGGGTGTTGCCACCCGGGCACAGCCTGCCCCGCAGAGACCTCCTACCTCTATCCTGGCTGTGGCGGCCTCGATGGCCGCAGAAGTGGCAGCCATCTCCTTGTCCACCAGGTCCCCAAGCTCCTCCTGTTTGATGTCCAGGCCCCTGGGCAGGAGCTCCTGTGAACAGCGTCACAAAGGCTGAAGTGATCCCTGGGCACAGCTGTGGCCCTACAGCGGAGGGGGGAGGGGCCCTGCTGTGGAACACCTGCAAGCTGCGTGGGTGGGGGGGCTTCCGCAGACCTCCTGGGAACTCTGAGAGCTCACATGCCTTTCCTCCTCCTCCTGTCCTCACTCACCCCAGGAAGCTGTCACTGCCTGACCCCAGCAGGTGCACTGTGTTGGCTGTGTTTGCTATGTGGGGGGGAGTTTTGAAAACTTTATCAAACACAGACGATGATCTCTCAATGAGTTCGGCCCTTCTTGAACTTGGCTTCCACAGCAGTCGTCTTTACCATTCCTGCTTGCACGGACGGGAAGCCGAGGTACACAAAGGCAAAAGGTCTCGACTACACAGCACAGCAGGGATCCAAACTTGGGTCTGACGGATGGCAAAGCCCAAGATTTTAATTTTTTAAAAGTCTTCTATTTATTTGGAAGGCAGAGTGACAGAGATAGAAGGAGACAGGGAAAGAGATCCTCCATTTACTGGTTCACTCCCCAAATGGCTGCAACAGCTGGGGCTTGGGCCACACTGAAGCCAGGAGCCTGGAACCCCATCCGGGTCTCCCACATGGGAGGCAGGGGTCCAAGGATTTGGGCTGCCTTCTGCTGCTTTCCCAGGTGCATTGGTGGGGAGCTGGAATGGAAGCAGAGCAGCCTGGACTTGAACTGGCGCTCTGCTATGGGATGCCGGTGCTCCAAGAATTGGCTTAACTACTGTGCCTGGGAAAGCAGTGGAAGACGGCCCAAGTGCTTGGTCCTCTGTCACCCATGTGGGAGACCCAGACACCACGGCTTCCTCGGCAATTCACACCCAAAGCCATCCCCTTCCTGCACACTGACTGCGGAGCGCACCTCGCCGATGGCCTTGATCTTGCTCAGGCAGCTCCTCATGGCGGTGCTGTCGGCACTCTCGAGGGCCCCCTCCCCGTCCAGGGCGGCCAGGTAGATGAGGGTCTCCCTGCCGTACTGCTTGCAGGCCTCTGTCAGCGCTGGAGACGCAAGTGGACGGGGCTGTTGACAGGCCTCCTGCGCCCCGGCTCTGGGGACTCACCCTGCCCCCCACCCCCACCCCCTACTCACAGTCAGCAGGCTCTGGCGGGGCGCGGAGGCTGGTGGTGCTGCCATGAACGATGGTGTCGCTGGTCAGGTGGGCCAGCAGGGTGATGGAGTGGAGAAACTCGCTGATGTCTGCGGAAGCAGGGAGGGACTCTGCTCGGACTTGGCTGGGGGGGGTCCCCTTTCGCACCCCTCTTTCCCGCTCCCCCACCTTTCTCAGTGCCCAGGAGCTGTCCCTGTTCCCACATCTGAACCCCGCTCAGCCGTCACTCATGACGGAGCCCGCCCTCCCCCTTCCTCACCTTCCGGACAGGCCAGATACTGGCTGCGGCTCTTTTCCAGTTGCTCGGTGCAGCTGGAAACAGACTTGACCTTGGAGAGGAGGTGATCTGCGAGAGGGAAGACAGGGCAGGTGTCCTCACGGCTTGCTGGCCACTGCGTATGGGAAGCTGCCCGGCGGAGTGACCCAGCCAACCCCCTGGGAGCTGCTCTCGGTGGAGGAAGGCCAGGAGCACAGCTGGCCAAGCTGGTACTGGAGTGAGTCCGTACTGGGGCTTTGACAAGCGACGCAGCTGAGCCTACCGTGGTCTTTGCCCAGAGCCTCGTGGCTCACGACTGCCCCTCCTATGACATCCGGGCCTTCCTGGGAGGTCCATGGAAGCCCTGGGAGTCTCACAGCCCTTAAGCCTGCGCTCCCGCTCTGCACACAAGCTACCTGCTCCCCACCCTGGCGCCACCACGGGCATCTCTGGCTATCCTGTGTCTGCTTCCTCATCTCCAGGCAGGGGCAACATGGGACTACCTGGTGGCGTTCGCCCAGATGCTTGGAACTCAGGAGGCTCTCGGGGGTGTAATTCTTCCCCATCTTGCCTTCTCTCCGAATCTTCCGAACCCAGCTCACATCATCTCAGAATCTGCGCCCCCAGGGCCCCATTTCCTGGGATTTTTTTTACTCTTTCTGCTACTCCGTGCTTGATGCTGCCTCCCTAAGACTCCAGGTTCATGAGCAACCACCTGTCGCCTCAGATCTTAAAGAGACACAGAACTGTTCCCTCCCCCCACCCATTTGCCTTCAGCTGTGGCCAGATTCTGGTCCTAGAAGGAAGACATCCGCCAGTGTGACCGGCTGAGTAAGGCGCCATTTCTCATACCTAGGAGACCAGGCTCGGTGCCACAGAGCTCCCAGTTTAACTGAGCCAGGACAGGGCCTGGGCATCCCTGGTGACACTGACGTACAACTGGGCTCAGTTTCCCGTGGGCTCCAAGGCCGTGAGAACGTGGCACCTGCGTGCGTACCTGCAGAGCCGGCACAGCTGATGAGAGTGGGTTCTTCCAGCTGGCTCAGGGCCTCCCAGATCACCTGCTCCGCGGCCTTCCTGGACCCCTCCAGAAGCATTTTCCGTTGTTCCTTTGCAAACTGGCACACAGCTTCCTAAACAAAGGGCCCGGGGAGGTGAGAGTCGGCCCTGGGCCCCCACAGCGAGCCCCGAAACAGCAGCCAGCTGGGACCCGGCCGGCACGCCGGCGTCTGAGCTCTGGCTGTTCCTGATGAGGTCCAGGCTTTAACTTTGCGCACAGCTGTGTGCTGCTGGCCACAGGAGGCCACGGGGCTGGGTCGTGGCGACCCGGGGAGAAAATGCCAGGTGCTTGCCTTTGCATGTGGAAAGCAAGCGTGCCTTGCTCTCTCCTCGTTGGCTTTGTGGGTGATGCGGGGTATGCAACCCAGCCCAAGGTCTCTAACCCGTCACACGCCCCTCCCCTGCCTCCACGCGGGCACTGGAGCCTGCAAGTGGTCAGCTCGCGCGGGTGTCCCCCACTCACCTGAGCGCCAGCCAGCTTGAGCTGGGTGTCCTCCAGCTGTTTCCGAAGCGAGGAAAATTCCTCCTCCCGCCGCGTGGCGGCGCTCACCAAGCTGTCCCGCTCCGTCTCCAGCTCGGTGATCTGCGCCGCCCTGGTTGCTTCTGACTGCAAAGGCAACCACGTGGGAAGAGGGGGGCACTGGGAGAACCTCGTCATGCGTCCCCTCCCGGAGGTCCAAGCCCACGCCCTGGCCGCCGGAGGCAGGAGGAGGAGGTGCCTCTCTGATCGGCCGTGTGATGCACCTGGGGCCGGCGTGGCCAGGTGCAGGGCCAGGAGGCAGGCGCTCACCTGGGCCGAGGCCTCCAGGCTACTCTGGAGCACCTGCAGCTCCTGTTTGCTGGTGGCGAGTTCTTGCTTCAAGCTCTCCAGGAGCTCCTGCTGCTCTTCAGTCTGCAGGAAGAGAACCGGGGGGAGACTCTCACGGGCGAGGTGGTAACCGGGCAGAAAGGAGGGCAGAGCCCCCCCGAGCAACGCAGGAGGCGCGTGGAAGGAGAGACCCCATATTGCAACGGAGGTGTTCTGCTGGCCGAGGGGAATGTCAAGGGAGGAACTTGAGGGACATTTTCCCGGGTGTCACCCTTGAGCCCATAATGTTAAATCTGAGCTGGATTTTTTAATTTTGGCATCCCAGGACCTGGGACACTGTGCCACTAATGTATCCGGTCGACTTCAGACGATTTCCTGTCTTGGGTGTCTTCCTGTGATAGCAGTTTTCAAAGAGCAGGCTGAGTTCCGTTATTGAGAAATCATAGCTAATTTTTAATTTTTTAAAATTTATTTTAATTTTTAAAAAAATATTCATTTTATTTATTTGAAAGAGCCACAGAGAGACGTAGACAGAGAGAGAGGTCCTCCATTCACTGATTCACTCCTCAGATGGCCGCAACGGCTGGAGCTGTGCTGATCTGAAGCCAGCAGCCAGAAGCCTCCCCGGGTCTCTCACATGGGTGCAGGGGCCCAAGGACTTGGGCCATTTTCCACTGCCCTCCCGGGCCACAGCAGAGAGGTGGATCAGAAGCGGAGCAGCCAGGACCAGAACCGGTGCCCATATGGGATGCCGGCACTTGAGGCCAGGGCTCTAACATGCTGTGCCACAGCGCTGGCCCCTTAGCTGATTTTTTTTTAAAGATTTATGCATCAGGGCCAGTGTGGTGGCACAGCGGGTTAAGCTACCTACCACCTGTGATGCCGGCATCCCATGAGGGCACCAGTTCATGTCCTGGCTGCTACGCTTCCAATCCAGCTCCTTGCTAATGGCCTGGGAAAGCAGCAGCAGATGGTCCAAATGCTGGGGGTCCTGCACCCACGTGGGAGACCTGGAGGAAGCTCCTAGCTCCAGGTTCCTGGCTTCGGATAGGCCCAGCCTCAGCTGTTGTGGCCATCTGGGGTGTGAACCAGTGGGTGGAAGATCTCTGTCTCTCTCTCCTGCCCACTACAGCTAACATTGAAAAAAAAATAATGGATTTAGGACAGGTGTTTGGTGTAGCTGCTTGGGATACCAGCATCCCATATGGGAGTGCCTGGTTCGATTCCCAGCTGTTCTGATTCCAGTTTCCTGCTAATGTGTACCCTGGGAGGTACCAGGTGCTGGCTCAAGTCCTTGGGTCCCTGCTACTCATATGGGAGACCTGGTTGGAGTTCTGGGCTCCAGGCTTTTGGTTGGCCCAGCCCTGTGCATGTGGGGAGTGAACAAGTGGATAAAAATTTCTTTCTCTCCATGTCTCTGTAATTTCAAATAAATTTAGAAAAAAAAAAAGGGTTGAAGAGAACACTGAGGGGCTGGTGTTGAGGCAAAGCAGGTAAAGCCTCTGCCTGCACCGCTGGTATGCCATTATCAGTGCCAACTTGAGTCCTGGCTGCCCCACTTCCAGTCCAGCTCCCTGCTAATGCACCTGGGAAAGCAGTGGAAGATGGCCCAAGTGCTGGGGCCCCTGCACCCACGTGGGAGACCCGGATGGAGTTGCTCGCTCCTGACTTCAGCCTGGCTCAGCTCGGGCTGCTGCAGCCATTTGGGGAGTAAACCAGTAGATGGAGGACCTCTCTCTTTCTGACTCTCCCTCTCTCTACAACTTTGTCTTTCAAATAAAATAAATACATCGTAAAACAAACAAATATAAAACAAAAATGAAAGAGAACACTGAATATACAAATGCATTCACATATGAGGACTGCTTGGTGAGATTTTATTTCCAGTAGATGGATGCATTTAAATAAAAGGTCTATTTTACTGGAAAGGCAAGAGAGAGAGAGAGAGAGAAATATTCCATGGACTGGTTCACTCCCCAAATGTGCACAAAAGCCAGGGCCTAGGCCAAGCTGAATCCAGGAGCCAGGAACGCCGTCTGGGTCTCCCATGTGGGTGGCAGGGGCCTGAGCACTTGGGCCTTCCTCTGCTGCCCTCCCAGGCTGAGTGAGCAGGAAGCTGGATCGGACATGCAGGCGCCAGGATTTGGACCAGCACCCCGTGTGGGATGCAGGCGTCCCAGCAGCGGCTTAACCTGCCGTACTGCACTGCCTGCCTGGTGACAGATGCGGCTTTGACTCTGGGTCACATAGACACGCGCAAGCCGCTCCTCCCAGCCTATGGCTTTAAGCTGTGCTCGCCCAGCCTGTGCCCTGCCTGCCCATGCTGCCGCAGCCCTAGCTTTACCACTCCGCTGGTGCCATGTCTCCATGAGCCCGCTCTCCCCGCACTTGCCTTCCTTACTCAAACTCTCCTGCACCCTCACCTTAGCCTGGGTTCGTTCATTACTGCCTGTCCTACTCGCACACATGCAGGGAATGGCAGTCGGTGCGGTGGGGACGATGGGCAGCAATGGGCAGCCCCTGCTCGCCTCCACTGGATGCCCCTCCCATTCCTGGAGGGCTTCCTCTCCCACTCACCTTCCGCTGGGTCTGGTCACTCACACGCTCGAAGGAATCCTCCAGTTCTTTTTTCTCTCGTTCCAAATCCACCTGCGCTTGTCTGGCCACGGACACCTGTTTGGTCACCTCTGCATTCTGGAAGGAAGAATGGCGTCTGGCAGGGCCTCCTCTCAGGCTTAAAGGACGCCTTTCCCCTCCCGAACAAAGCATTCCATTCAGCCCGGGACCTCCCCCCTTAGAAGGAAGCCACAGGCGCGTGACAACCTTCTGGGTCGCGATGAGTCTGTCATTAGGAAATCATCAGGATGGGGGGGGGGTAGCCGAAGAGGAACCCAAGATACGGGGGTCACAGGGAGCTTGGGAAGCGGGGGTTCCCAAGAAACAGGCGATTCCTAGAAACTGGCATGGGCGATGGACACAGTGAAACCCCGAGGCCTGGGCTACGAGCTCCACACCATGTGGGCACTGCAGGACGGCAGGGGTGCAGGTCCTACCTTGCGCAGCAGGTCGGCGTGGTTCTGGACCAGCTCGCTGTACTTCTCCTTGAGCTTGCTGTACCGCTGCTCATTGGCCTGAGCCTTCCCTGCACGGTCAGGGGCCAAGGTCAGGTGTCTTCCGCTGCCCCTCCGGCAGGCCAGGGGCGCTGCACAACTCTCCTTCCTTCCTTCCTTCCTTCCTTCCACAAAAGCATGGACCTTATCCCCCAAACTACGTAGGGGCCGGCATCGTGGCGCAGAGGGTTAAGCTGCCGCATGCAATGCCGGCATGCCACATCGGTGCACCGGTTTGAGTCCCGGCTGCTCTGCTTCTGATCCAGCTCCCTACTAATGCGCCCGAGAGGGCAGCAGGTGATGGCTCAAGTCCTTGGGCCCCTGCTACCCATGTGGGAGACCCGGATGGAGCTCCTGGCTCCTGCGTTCAGCCTGGCTGTTGCCATCATTTGGGGAGTGAACCAGCAGACAGAAGATCTCTCTCTCTCTCTCTCTCTCCCTCCCTGTCATTCTGATTTTTGAATAAAATAAAATAAATCAAAAAAGTGAACCCCTCTGGGGAGTGGTCTTTCAAAAGATAATCCCTCTGCTGACTTGCGCCTCCTCTGTGTAAGAACACGGCTTCTATTTTATCAGGCTTCTCAGCCTTTCTACCGACCTCCCTCTCAGGCCCTGGGTCCCGTCTCCCAGCCCCTGGGCCCAGCTCTCGCCCAGGGCAGGCGCCCCCGTGTCACTGCCTGGACTCCCTGGGCCCAGCTCTCGCCCAGGGCAGGCACCCCCGTGTCACTGCCTGGACTCCCTGGGCCCACCTCTCGCCCAGGGCAGGTGCCCCCGTGTCACTGTCTGGACTCCCTGGGCCCACCTCTCGCCCAGGGCAGGCACCCCCGTGTCACTGCCTGGACTCCCTGGGCCCACCTCTCGCCCAGGGCAGGCACCCCCGTGTCACTGTCTGGACTCCCTGGGCCCACCTCTCGCCCAGGGCAGGCGCCCCGTGTCACTGTCTGGACTCCCTGGGCCCACCTCTTGCCCAGGGCAGGTGCCCCGTGTCACTGTCTGGACTCCCTGCCTCCACGGTCCTGGCCTTTGCCTCCCAGGCCTCTGTGGCTGCTGGGTCGCAGCCGGCTAATGAGAGCTGGCAGTCCCAGGGGGCGGAGCCTGGCTGGATGCTGCCCTCCCGCCCCGCCCGTGGGCGGTGCCTTACTCTCGATCTCCGTCAGGCTGCGCTGTGCCTTCTCCGTGTCTTCCCGCTGCTTCTTGAGCTCGTCCAGCTCGGCCCGGAGGAACTCGCCGTCGTCCGCCGCCTGCTGCCGCAGGTGCCGCTGCTCGGCCAGCTCGGCCTCCAGCTCGCTGAGACGGCCCTTCAGCTGCAGCACGGCCCGCTGGCCCTGCGGCGGGCAGGCAGGCAGGGGGGAGTGGGCACTCGAGTTTCCAGCCCTGCCCAGGCAGATCCCGTGGTGTCCCCAGCAAGCCCAAGCCCAGCGCCCTGTGACAGCTGAGCTCTGCTCCTGGCACCACAAGCTGCCTGCACACCGACAAGTAGCGACGGCAGGTAGTTTGGTTCTAGTCAGAATGGCCTGGGGGCTGAGGGACGCGGGGGCCTGGCTTCTGATGAGCCACGGAGCTGAGAGCTGCCTGGTCCTGCATACAGCACCAGCCACGAGCCACACACCACATTTTTCTCATGGCTGTGTCATAAGAACCGGCCTTTCTCACCACGGCCTCCAAGCCAGGGGTGACCCATGACTGCCTCTGTTCTCAGGGTCACCGCAGCCTGGCTGAACTGCTGCCATCAAGGCGCGTGCCATAAGATCTCAATACAGGGGCTGGCGCTGCGGCGTCGTGGGTAAGCCCACCGCCGGCAGTGCTGGCATCCCATGGATGTGCCACTTCTGATCCAGCTCCCTGCTAATGGCTGGGAAAGCAGTGGAAGACGGCCCAAGTGCTGGGGCCCCTGCGCCCACGTGGGAGACCCAGTCCTGGCTTCCAGTTGGCCCTCCCCTAGCTATTGCAGCCATCTGTTGCTTGAACCAGAGAATGGAAGTCTCCCTCCACTACCCCCTCCCCCAGCACAGGAAGGGAGGACGGAAGGGAGGGAGGGAAAGAGGGAGGGAGGGAAGGAGGGAGGGAGGGAGGGAGGAAGGGAGGGAGGGAGGGAGGGAGGGAAGGAGGAAGGAAGGGAGGGAGGGAGGGAGGGAGGGAGGGAGGGAGGGAGGGAGGAAGGAAGTGCATTACAATGGAGATGGCGTTTCTACTCATTAATCTGCCTTAGGATGTGATGCTACGGATTTAATCTGGCCACCCGGCCCAGGAGTTGGGGAAGCAAGGGCCAAGGCATACCTCAGCCTTTGTACTTTCCAGCTGTGCCTTCAGCCCACTGATCTCTCGGTACAGTCGCTCGATCAAATGGTCCCTGCGGAGGGGAGCGGAGGGAGCTGAGGAACAGAGCCGGCCTCTGGGAGGTTGGGGGAGGAGCAGCATCCAGGGCTAATCGGAGGACAAGTCCTCGGGACTCCACCAAGCACAGAGTCAGTTCTCTCGACCAATGGGGTCCACATCCATGGATGCATCCAACTGTGGATCAAAACACTCAGGGAAAAAAAAGTAAAATCCCACCCGCATGGAACTCGCACAGACCCGTCTCTTGGTCATTATTCCCTAAACAATATGGTACGACAGCTTTTGCCGTGGCATTCGGCGTCATCAATAACCTGGACATGGTTTAAAGCATGTGGGAGGGCACGTGGGGGATGTATGCAAATGAAGGTCCTTTGACACAAGGGACTTGGGCGTTGGTGGCTTTGGGCATTTTGCCAGGGCCCTGGAGCCGACACCCAGGAATGGCTGCACCCTACGTGATACCAGGTACTAAATCCAGCCCCCCAAGCAGCAGTTACTGATTCCCCTCTGGGACCCGAGGGGCCCGTATTTGAGGTCTAGACATGTGCTATCTAAGCAGCCCAAGAACCATCACAGATTCCTCTGGAGGTCAGCACTTGGCACAGCAGCTAAGAGTGCTCGGTGCGAGTCCTGGCTTCTCCACTTCGGATTCTAGCTCCCTGCTAGTGCACAGCCTGAGGGGCAGCCGGTGACAGCCCAAGTCCTTGGGTCCCTGCCACCCACATGGGAGACCTGGACTGTTTCAGGCAGGCTTCTGGCTTCAGCCTGGCCCAGTCTCAGCTATCGTGGACATTTGGGAAGTAGATTAGCAGATGGAACACCTTGCTGTCTTTCAAATTAAAAAAAAAAAAAAAAAAATCCAACTTGAAATAAACATAAAAAAAAAAGTTCCTCTCTGGCCGGTGTTGCAGGCAGATGGCGGCGCCACCCACCCAAGCCCGCGTGGACTCACTTCTCATCCTTGTTCACGCCATTCTGACTGTTGAAATTGAAGGGGTCACTGCTGAACGAGCTGCCGAAGATGTCATCGAACTTGTTGTCGAACAGATTCTGCAGTGACGGAAAGGGAAGAGGTTAGGGGTCCAGAGAGTTCTGTGTGGGCTCAGCCCTGCGTGGGAGCCCTCCAGGAAGCAAAGGGGCACGGTGCTGAGTGCAGGCTGCTGCTGGGTTAAGAGAAGACTGAACCTGGTCAGAAGCGGGGTACCTGCGTCTGGCCTTTCCCGACCTCTCCCTGCACCGGGAAGGGCCAGCTTCCTCCCCGACGCTGTCCCCACCTGCTGGGAGGCGTCCATGTCCATGAGGTCATCCTTCTCCGAGACGGGCTCGCTGTCGGGGGACGACGCCTCGGCGGGGATCACCACCACGGGGCTGATGTGCTCCGACAGGGCTGAGGCTCGCAGGAAGTTGGGTGGGTTCTGGCGGGGTGGAGGTGGGGGGCGGAGGCACATCCTCAAACAGTGCTCACCTGCCAGGCCTCTGGGGACTGGGGGCGCCTGGGCTATGGCCGGGGCGGGGCGCGCTTACCTCGGGCAGCTGGGGGATCTGAAAGAGCCGCTTGAAGTACTGCAGATTGCTGGAGCGGTAGAACAGGTCTTTCAACCTAGGGGTGGACAGGAGCCTGAGGGCTGCTGGGTGTCACCAGCTGGGTGCCCCAGGGAGGGGACAGAGCATCCCCCAACCTCCCCGCTCCCTTACCCCCTACCCGGCCCAAAGGCACAGGTTGTCAAGGAGATGGCTGTCCTCTGTGGCACTAGGGCCCAATTGTGACACTACAGACAGAGACTGCTTAAAGCCAGTGCCCAGTTATCTTGTGGTGAGCAAAAGCCATGCTTACAAATTTCTCCAGAAGGGCAGAGCATTGGAAAAACGGATCACCCATCGCCGGAGGATGGCTGTTGTCCTGCAGATCTGTCTCCCCAGGAAAGTGGTTTTTTTTTTTTTTCTTTAAGATTTATTTATTTATTTGAAAGAGTTACAGAGAGAGGGGAGGGAATGAGAGACAGAGATTTTCCATCTGTTGGTTCACTCCCCAGATGGTGGCCAATGGCAGGGCTGGGTGAGGCCAAAGCCAGGAGCCAGGAACTTCTACTGGGTCTCCCACTGGGTGGCAGGAGCCATCTGCCTGCAACACCAGCCAGAGAGGAACTTTTTTTTTTTTTTTATGTTTATTCCAAGTTGGATTTTTTTTTTTTTTTTTTTTTAATTTGAAAGACAGCAAGGTGTTCCATCTGCTGCAACACTTGGGTCATCTTCTGCTGCTTTTCCCCAGCCATTAGCAGGGAGCTGGATTGGAAGTGGAGCAGCGGAGACTCAAACCAGTGCATATATGGGATGCCGGCGACACAGGCAGCAGCTTAACCCACTGCGCCACAACGCCGGCCCCTCTAGGATACTTTTAGGCTTAGCAGAGTTTGGAAGCTTTTCTCTTCAAAGGGCCATCTAGATATTGATAACATCATTGGTGAGCCATACAAAGTGATCAACTTAAAAATGAGCCTGCTGTACAGAGTATTGAGTTTTGAGTCCTGTCTGTGGTTGCCTTGGCAGGGCCAGACCAAATGATTTCTCGGGCCTCACATGGCCCACTGGCTGGACGTTCCCCACCCCGCCGGCTTGGAGTAATACTAAAATAAATTTGCTTTCTGAGGATAAACCTACTAACAGTAGGAAAGGGAAGGCACCTAGTTGCTATGGTAATTCTCAACTACTTCATGTTGACTTTGAGCTACCATCTCCCCGATTAGACTGGAATCTGCTAGAGTAGAGTGACTGGACCCTGCCAGGCCACAATGCCCACGGTGCCAACAGAGAGGATGCCTCAGTAAGGATCTGTTGGGACGGTAAGAATCTCTACCGTGCCCTAGTCCCGGGTGAATGCCGGAATGAAGGAGCCAACTTTTTTTTTTTTCTTCTTCTTCTTGAATTGCTGACTCTGAATCAAAACCCTAAATACCAAGAAAGGTGAGACTATCCAGAGTACGCGAGGGCACCTCAGAAAGTTCCTGGAGAGACTGGAGCTGTGGCGTAGCAGGTTAAACCTCTGCTTGCGATACCAGCACCCTCTAGCAGGGCGCCAGTACAAGTCCTGGCTGCTCCACTTCTGATCCAGCTCCCTGCTAAGGCCACCTGGGAAAGCAGCGGAGGATGGCCCAAATACTTGGTCCCCTGCCACCCACGTAAGGAGTCCTGGCTGGAGTGCCTGCCTTCTGGCTTTGACCTGGCCCAGCCCTGCTTGGTTAGCCATTTGGAGAGTGAACCAGAGGATGGACTCTCTCTCTTTACCTTTCAAATAAATGAATAAATAAATCTTTTAAAGAATTTTGTGGAAAATGGATTAAAACATAAATGTATTTTGGTGCAAACTTTTTTGAAATCCACGCATAGTTTTTTCATAATATGTAGTAAAATATTTTATTTATTTATTTACATTTTTATTTGAAAGGCAGAGAGAGAGAGAGATATCTTCCATCCACCGGCTCACTCCCCAAATGCCTGCAATAGTTAGAGTTAGACCAGGATAAAGCTGGGAGCCAGGAACTCAATCTGGTGTCCCATGTGAGTGACGGCGACTCGACCGCTCGGGCTAACACCTGCTGCCTCCCACACTGTGCACTGACAGGAACTTGGATTGGAAGCAGAGAAGCAGGGACTCCAGTATGCAATGGGCTTGAGTTGACAGCCAAGTGCTCGTCCCCATAATATGCATGTGTCACGAACTTTTCCAAGATCCCTTCCTATGCATGAACTTTGAAATTTTTTGCCCTAAAATAAATTTATCTTTTATTATTTTAAAAAGAGATTTATTTATTTATTTGAAGGGGTGGGGGAGGACACAGAGAACTCTTCCATCTGCTGGTTCACTCCCCAAATGGCTACAATGGTCAGGACTGGTTTAGGTTGGAGCCAGAAGCCCAGAGCTCCATCCGGGTGGCAGAGACTCAAGTATTAGGGCCATTCACTGTTGTTTTCCCCAGGCACGTTGGCAGGGAGCTGCACTGGAAGTAGAGCAGCCAGAACTGGAAAGTTCTGGAGAGACTGATGCTCCAATGGGAGATGCTGTTTCCCAAGCAGTGGCATGACCTGCTCTGCCACCATGCCCACTCCAAACACACTGATCTTCTACTTCCATTTTCCACGCGCTTTCTGTATATATCCTGAGAGGGAAGATGATTCGCTGGTCTCAGCACCGTCTCCCTGCAGGGCGGGATTTTCTCTAGTTCAGCCCAACAAACTGAACCCCAAGAGTCAGGTCTGTCCCTGTGCCATCCCTGCCACTCTCCCCGAATCCAAGGACAATGGGGTCTTGGTGGGGGCAGCTGTGTGCATGGGCAGCTACTCACAGAGATGCTTCGATACGCTGGCAGAAAATGAAAGGAACTAAAAGCTGCTGACCGTGGCGCTCCCATCTTCTGGGCTGGTGCCAACAGTAGCAGGCCCCACTGCTTTCACAAGCTGCTTGGACTTGACATTCCAGGAAACCCGCCCCAGGGCCTGTCTCGTGGAATTTAACAAGCCATTTACTGCAGGCTCTACCCCAGGCTTCTCAGATGGAACCGGGAAATTGGGAGGTCAGTGCAGCCCTGCGCTTGTCCTGCGAGTGCTCCTGTGGAATGTGCCGGAACCATCCACCTCTCAGCCAGACCAGCGCTTCCTCTCCCGGACGACACAGCAATCATTATTCCACAGTGCTCTGAGCACCACAGCTCTACTGACAGCTGCTCGTCGACGGACAAGACGGTCAGAGGGAAGCAAAGCTGTGCTAAGAACTCTGGAGGAAAACAGTGACTGCCCTTTGGCAATAGCGGCCTCTCACACTGCGACCCCAGTTCAAGTCCCAGCTGCTCTGCTTCTGATCTAGCTCCCTCTAATGTTCCTAGGAAAGCAGCGGGAGATAGCCCAAGCGCTTGGGTCCCTGCACCCATGTGGGAGACCTGGATGGAATTCCTAGCTACTGGTTTCCATAGTGTGGCCATCTGGGACGTGAACCAGTGGATGGAAGATATCTTTCTTTTCTCCGTAACTTCACCTTTCCGATAAATAAATAAACCTTTTTTTTTTTTTTTTTGACAGGCAGAGTGGACAGTGAGAGAGAGAGACAGAGAGAAAGGTCTTCCTTTGCTGTTGGTTCACCCTCCAATGGCCGCTGCAGCCGGCGCACTGCGCTGATCCGAAGGCAGGAGCCAGGTGCTTCTCCTGGTCTCCCATGGGGTGCAGGGCCCAAGCACTTGGGCCATCCTCCACTGCACTCCCTGGCCACAGCAGAGGGCTGGCCTGGAAGAGGGGCAACCGGGACAGAATCCGGCACCCTGACCAGGACTAGAACCCGGTGTGCTGGCGCTGCAGGTGGAGGATTAGCCTACTGAGCCGCGGTGCTGGCCCAAATAAATAAATCTAAAAAAAAAGATTTTGGAGGGGCCAGCAATATGGCATAACAGGTTAAGCCACCACCTGCAATGCCAGCATTCCAGACAGGTGCTGGTTTGAGTCTTGACTGCTCCACTTCTGATCCAGCTCCTTACTACTGCACTTGGGAAAGCAACAGAAGATGGCCCAAGTGCTTGGGCCCCTGCCACCCAGGTGGGAAAACTGGATGGAGCTCTAAGCTGTTGGCTTTGGCCTGGCCCAGCCCTGGCTGTTGTGGCCATCTGGGGAGTGAACCAGCAGATGGAAGATCTCGCTCTCTCTGTAACTCTGCCTCTCAAATCAATCAATCAATCTTTAAAAAAGAAATAATGAAAGACAGATGACCTGGGGCTGGCCAGGCTGGAAGGGCATCCAAAGGAGAGGGAACAGCAAGTGCTAGGGCCCTGATGGAGGAAGGCGGTGGGTCCACTCCAGGACTGAAAGACCCCCGAGATGCGGTCAGAGACGGTGGACTGGGGCCAGATCACATGGGGCCTTGCAGGTCACAGAAAGGAGCTGAGACCTCATTCTAAATGTAACAGAGCTATTAAAAGATTCTGAGGGATCCTGGTTTGCTTTAGGAGTTCACTCAGCAGCTGGGGCACCAGCACCCCACACTAGAGCACCTGGGTCCCAGCCATCTTATGGGAGACCTGGATTGAGCTCCTGGCTCCCAGCCTTAGCCCAGGCCTGGCTGTTGTGGGCCTTTGGGGAGGGAAGTAGTGGGAAGACAGGAGCTCTCTCTGTCTCTCAATTAGATCACATTTAAAGAAAAACACTTTTTAAAATATTTTATTTATTTGAAAGGTAGAGTTATAGACAATGAGAGGGAGAGAAGAGAGAGAGAGAGAGGTCTTCCATCTGCTGGTTTACTCCCCAAATGGCTGCAACAGCCAGGGCTGGGCCAGGCCAAAACCAGGAGCCAGGAGCTTCTTTGGGGTCTCCCACCTGCGTACAGGGGCCCAAGCACTTGGGCCATCTTCTTCTGCTTTCCCAGGCCACAGCAGAGAGCGGGATTGGAAGAGGAGCAGCCAGGACTAGAATTAGCACCCATATGGGATGCCGGTGCCACAGGTGGAGGATTAACCTGTGCCACAGCGTCAGCCCCTTAAGATTTTGAGCCAGGGATTTAACGTTGTCCAAGGTTACTGTATCTGCAGGGTGAGGACTGGGCTGTAGGGAGCAGCAGCGCAAGTCTAGAGAGTCTGGTCAACACTGGAGGACCCTAGCTTTAGAGAGAGAAATATAGCTGGGCCAAGCCGTTGGGAGGGAGTCAGCTGGAGCCAGTAATGACCAGCTGTGGGGGATGAGGGAGACCGTGAGTTCCAGATCTCTGGCTTCAAGGGATGGACACAGTATTTCCTGAGCAGAAGAGGCTCTGGGCCAGGGCTGGAGGTCAGCCATGAGGCTCAGCGGAAGACTCCCATCCAAGAGCCGTCAGTGTATAAACTGGCAAAGACCAGGGGAAGAGGGCAGGGTCCCTGCACAGAGCGGGTGACATCAGTGGATGGACGGAATCGCCCTGGGCTTTCCCGCCACTGGTGGGGCAGGTTTGCCGCCATCCCAGCCATTTCCTGTGACTCCCTCATCTTCAAGGACAGACACCCTCATCCCTCAAGCCTTTTAAAGTGAGTGCACGCGTGCCAGTTAAAGGACCTTCTGGCACTTTCTTGAGATGTCGGGCCTCCTACCACGTGAGCCACTCACTTGGTGAACTGCTCCATGAAGCGGTCCCGGTGGCCTTGCAGGGTGTCAGCTGGGAGACCTGGAAGAAAGGAGAAGAGCAGGTGACGCAGGGGCGGGCGGGACCAGAGGGAGGCACAACAGCACAGCAGGGCTCCGGAGGGGGGCGGGCCTAGACCTGGAAACTAGCAAACCCAGAGAAGCGTGGGGACACTCATTTCAGATCTTTCCATTTCTGCTTGCTCCTGAAATACAGCCTATCCTGGGTACAGCGAGGTGGAACTTCTCTGTCCCTGACTACAGACATGGTGGCAACCTGACCGAGTGGCGGGCCCAGGTGTCGTGTGCACTTGTTTTCGTGTGCACACGAGCCTGGGAGAAACCATGAGCTTGCCGGAGAGGAAGCCATCAGAAAGCAGAGAAGTGGGCTGGGATTCGGGGCGGCTGGGTTTCTGTCCCGCCTTGGACCAGCCTCGGCCTTTGCACGGCTGGTTTTTGGCAGTTCTTGGACCTCCCAGATGGTGTTGAGTCTGTGTATTTCAGCCATGGAGCAAGAACTCTGCCAGCCTTGTGGGTTTTGTTTCATGTTTACAATTTAAATGTTAGCTACTTCAGAATGGGTGATACGTTCATCTGATATGAACAGGGAGCACACGTTCAGGATCACTCAGAAGTGGGCTTCCGAGGCCTTTCTCCCAAGAACCCTTAACCCCAACCAAATAATGAGAAAACATCAGAAGAAAAGAGAGGGCGGGTGCTGCGGTACAGAGGGCTAAGCCACTGCTTGGGACGCTGGCTTCCTGCTTAAGTGCCAGCTCCTCTGCTTCCCACCAGCTTCCTACTAATGCATCTGGGACGTAGATGATGGCTCAAGCTCTTGAGCCCCTGCAACTCACATGGGAGACCCAGATGGAGTCCTGGCTCCTGGCTTTGGCCTGACCCAGGCCAGGCTGTTGTGGGCATTTGGGGAGTGAACCAGTGGATGGAAGATGTCTCTCTCTCTCTTCCTCCCTTTTTCTCCATTGCTCTGCCTTTTAAGTGAATGAATGGATATTTTGTCTCACCTTTAAACCCAAACACGCAACTACCTGCCTCTTCTCCTAACTCCCCACTTTCTACGCAGCAGGTGCCGCTGCACCGGGCAACCCTGTTCTGCAGCATCTCAGAAACAAAGCCCACGTGTGTTCAGTGCAGCGGAGCCCCTGCCTGCTGCCTTCTCCTGGGGTTGGGTGCACGCCCTCCGCTCCCCTGGGGCACACTGACTCCATCCAAAGCCCTTCTAATCCTCCCGCCAGACATTCCAACCTCCCTTCCAGGAAACCATCCCGGATTCATCTGAGTGACGCTGCTCCTCTTTCCTTGTCTAAATGCCCAGATGCAGTCCTGGGCAGTGACCACAGCTAGGGAGCAGCCGTCCCCTGTACTTGTAGACAAATAGGACCTCCTGGTCCCTTCTGTGCTCCCAAACCTTCCTGGCATCCAGTTCTGCTGGGTTTTCCACCAGCCATACCCTGCATGTACACGTCTCCCACGGTAGCCACCTCGGGGTGTGGCCTGCACACCCCCACATCAGACTGGGGATCTGTGTTTAACAATGCAGGACTCACCCTGGGCCTTCTACAGTGGACACCAGGGGCAGCAGGGCCAAGATACATCATTTTATTTTATTTCACTTTTGAAGATTTATGGATTTAATTATTTGAAAGGCAGAGTGACACAGGGAGAGCAAGAGAGACAGATATTGAGACCTTCCACCTGCTGGTCCATGCCCCAACAGCCAGGGCTGGGCCAGGCTGAAGCCAGGAGGCAGGAGCTCCATCCAGGTCTCCCACGTGGGTGGCAGGGGCCATCATCTGCTGCCGGCTTCCCAGGTACATTAGCAGGAAGCTGGGTAGGAAGTGGAGCAGCTGGTTCTAGAACCTGGCACTCAGATACAGGATGCTGGCATCTCACGGGATGGCTTAAGCCACTGCACCACAGCGCCTGCCCCAGACACAACAATTTAAACAAGAACCATAGTGAAGTCTGGAGACTTCTGCAAGACCAGAAGTTTCCAAAGTATATTCTGCTAAGGGCGTGCCAGGGACCTGCAGCCTCAAGCTGATGTTTTGTGCTTTTATTACTTTTCCATGAAACCCCATCTGAACAAAGGGACCACGCTGACAGGCGGCTTGGAAGTCGCTGTCTTAACTCGCGTGGGTCTGGGCCAGGCCTGCCGTTCCCTGGGTGGTTCTGAGAACGCGCGATGTCCCTGGTGAATGGCAGTGAGCTAGAGCTAGACGTGGGCACAAAGGGACTTCCTGGTGCCCAACTAGGGCAAGCCAGACGCTTTGCCAGGCACTCGGAAGCTTGGGCCGTGGTCTCCTGTATTCTCATGGAAGACCCTCCAGGGCCTTTTAGAACTGAGGCAGAAGGCCAAGGGCATGAGGGGCCTGCACCCCTCCAGGACACCCCCAAGGCTGCGATGCTCTGTTGGCCCTGGGCTCACGGCGGGAGGAAGGGCTGCGTACTCACAGGAGTGGAGCTTGAAGAGAAGCTTGACCGTGTAGTCGTACAGGTGGCTGCAGTCCAGTATGACCTGGATCAGCGGGGCCAGGCGGCACTGCCCGGCCGTGGTCACCGACACAGAGCGGGACATGTCCAGGGAGTTGAACACTAGGACATGGAAGGGGGAGTGAGGCAGGAGAGCTAGGAAGTGACCGGTGAGCTCTGCGGGGGAGCACACACTGAGGCCCGGCCTGGGCGTGCGCGACCTCGTTTAATTCCTGCAACCATTTCAACAGTCCACGTGTGCTCTGCATCACACAGGGAAGGCGTAGGGCGAAAGTGAGCTTGCAGGTGGTCACAGAGCCCCGAAGTGGTTGTGCTGAGAGGCAGTGGCCGCTTAAGGTCCCACCAGAGGGCCCACGTGGCCAACAACTGGCCAGGCCAGGTCAAGAACCTTGGTTGTGTCATGGATGGAGAACCGGGCCCTGGGACAGCCCTGGAAAGACTGGATTGGCTCAGAACCTGGGAGAGCTCCTAGGATGGAGGAGAATCCCTCTGTTGGGTCTTTGAAGAACTCCCTAGTCCCAGCCTTGAGTCTGAATGAAAAGGCCAATGGGCATCATGGTTTATAAAGGATTTCTGGTCTAACGTGGAGACAGGTTGACTGTTGAGGGAGAGCCCTGAGATTTCCAGGGAACCAGAATTTCAGGACCGGAAGCGGCTGTGGAGCCAGCCCCTCCAGCCCTCTCTCTCACGACTGCACTTAAAGGGTTAACCCTTGACCTTCAGGAGTGCGCCTGGTGGTGGCGGAAGCTGACCCGTGGCTGGGGAAAGGATCAGTTGGAAAATGAAGAAGGGAAACGTGCAGCTGTGGCTAGCCATGTGGCTTCTGGGGACAGCAGAAGGGACACCTAGAGGGCCCACGAGGGCCGAGAGGGCAGGGCTGAGCGTCAGCATCAAAGGCAAGTTCAAGGTCCTTGGGGGGACTGGTCAAGAGAAGCAGCGCCTTCTGCTCTCTGAGTTCCAAGAGGAAGGGGCTCCCTCCAGCTCCTGCCCCAGTGGTCCCTGCACACTTACCGCCGACTCCAGATCCTAGACCAAAGCCCCCAGTGCCTGGGCAAAGCCCAGCAGCACACCCTGGCCAGGGCTGTGGGCTGTCCTCTGCCTCTGGAGACCCCATGCACTGCAGGCGGCTCTCCCTGCAGTCCGTCTGGAGGCAAGCCCAGGGCCGCATATGCTCTGCCACCCCCGACTGCGCCAAGCCTTGCTAACTGCAGTAGTCTGGCCCCTGGTGGGGGGATTCCTCCAAACTGGTCTCTAATAAAAGGTGGCTTTTCTTCTAGATACAAATGAAAAGCAGCTGTCACCATGAGGCAGTCACGCTGCCTACTGGCTTCCTTGGGCTCTGTCTCCCGGGTTGCCCGCTGCCTTCCGGAGTGCTCAGGGCACCCAGTGGACCTGCAGCACCGTGACCGTGGACAGCTCACTCAAGCTGTCTGTGCCCCAGGATGCACAGACCTCACAAGGGACTTGTAAGATGAGCTTTGGCTTTGAGGTTGATTTGGGTCTGAGGAAACTGAAGCCTCCCTCATGTCTGCCTGTGCCTCATGCCCAATCTCACCACTTCCCCGCTAACCTCCCACAGTCAAAAGTGTATTTCCTTTTTTTTGTTTGTTTGTTTGAAGATTTATTTATTTCCTTTGAAAGCCAGAATTCCAGGGAGAGAAAGATCTTCCATCTGCTGGTTCACTCCCCAGATGGCTGCAACAGCCAGAGTTTGGCCAGGCTGAAGCTAGGGGCCTCTTCCAGGTCTTCCATGCAGGGTGCAGGGACCCAAGGACTTGGGCCATCTTCCACTGCTCTCCCAGGCCATAGCAGAGAGCTGGGTGGGAAGAGGAGCAGCCAGGACACGAACCGGCGGCCATATGGGATGCTGGCACTGCAGGCAGACGCTTAACCTACTATGCCACAGTATCAGCCCACAAAGCCTGCTGATGAGCTCATCTAACTTCTTGGCTATTGCACAGAAAGTGAAAGACAGAGTGGTGGTATGGGTATTGCTTCTGTGCCACCGTAAAGTTGGGAAACCATTGAGTCTGGAGCCAGCACTGTGGTGCAGGCGGTTAAGCCGCCACCTGCCATGCTGGAATCCCATACAGCACCGGTTTGAGTTCTGACACCCCACTTCCAATCTGGGTCCCTGCTAAGGCACCTGGGAAAAAGCAGCAGAAGATGGTCTAAGCATTTGGGCCCCTTGCACCCACGTGGGAGAGCCAGGTGGAGCTCTGGGCTCTTGGCTTCTGCCTGGCCCAGCTCTAGCTGTTGCAGCCATTTGGGGAGTAAACCAACTGATGGAAGACTCTCCCTCTCTCTTTGTAACTCTGCCTTTCAAATAACTAACTAACTAACCAACCAACTAATTAACTAAATCTTAAACCAGCAACCGAGATGCCTGCGTCCCCTGGTGTGACACCTGGCTCTGGCTCCTGACTCCCACTTTAATGCTGACCCTGAGAGGCAGCGGTGACGGCTCAAGTCATCAGGTTTCTGCTACCCACATGGGAAACTCAGACTGAGTTCCTGGCTCCTGGCTTCAGCTTGGCCCAGCCTTGGCCACTGAGGGGATGTGAGGATTAAACTGGTGGATGGGAGCTCTCTCTGGGTCTCTTTCTCTCAAATAAATAGATAAGTACACCCAGCTAGGGATTGTGAGACGTGGGGGCAAAAAGGATGTCTGAGTCACACCTGTACCCCCCTCATCTCTCAGCCCCCTTTCTGGGGGGTCACCCCCATCTCTTCCTGCTTACTTGCAGTCTATCAGGAGCTCGAAGGCCATCGGCAAAGCCGCCTTGCTCTCCCCCAGCCACCACGGGCAGCAGAGGCCAGAGCTCCAGGGAGGCAGCTTGGAGCGGCTGGTTGGCCCCTTGGAGACTGGACCCTGCGGAAGATGGCAGTTCCTAGGGCCTCCCTCGGACACGCACTCCATTCTAGCGCATTCCAAAGCTAAATGTGCCGGACGCTGAGTTAACCCCCTCTGTCTTCCCACGTGGCTGACTATCTGGAAGTAGCACTCTTAAGTTGTATGCACACATTCTCAATGCATCAGGGACTGTATGCTGTGTTTTACTGTTACTCCTCCAGTGCCTTATGACACAGGCTGCTAGCAGGCTGGTACCCATTTCCTCTTGCAGGTCACGGTTTCCAACTCTTTTAACTGTTCCTCTGACACACCCTGTGCTGAACTGATTGATTGGTCAAAGCATCACGCCAGGAACTTGTCGCCCTGTTATAGGCCTTGGCCAGTGCTGGACCAGAACAAGCCAGTGGTGCACGTTGGCTGCACATATGGACAACAGCAAAAGAAGCCTGCGGTCAAGGTCAGTCAATGCCCCAAGAACAGGCCCAGTGGGGAGAAGCCGCCGAGCTGAACCCACAGTCTGCAGCTCACTGCGAGCCAGACACTTGTCGTGGGGCCCCTTCCTGCCCCCCAGTTCTCAGAGTCCCTCAGTGATGGCAGGGGAGGCAGGCTGGGAGGTAGGGGTGGGGTGGGGAGAGAGACGTGGGGAGCAGGGAGCTGCAGGGGGCTCCACAACTCCCAGGAGAAGGGAGCCTGGCAGGGAGGCCACCTTCGTGGGCTGCTCACGTGGACTTGAGTGACAGCCAACTCCCCTAGCTTTGCCCCAGCAGACATGACGTGCCAAGGCCTGGCCAGGGCTGAGGCCAACAGGGAGGGGGTGGAGAGATCTCCCTGCTCAGGTCTGAAACCACCAACAAGGAAAATACCAAGAGCTCCAGCCCCTCCTGCCGCGAGGAGCTGGGAGAGCAAAGGCCGGGTGGGGATGCCTCCCAACCCCTTGTTCTACAATAGGGACAGGGAGGGGAGGGCTGGGCCAGCTGGGCATTCTGGGAGCCCGGATCAGATAGGAGGGAGGCGACTCACCAGTTTGGAAGAGGTTTAGCTCACACTCCAGGTAGTCAAACATCTCCACTGTTAACTGGAAACTGGACCCAAGAGTAGACAGCTTATACTCCACAGTCCCACGGCCAGGCCCCCACCTGCCTCTGCCCACATCCCATACATACACACACAAGTACCCTCAGATACGCATGCGGATACACACACACATGTGCACGCATGCTCGTGTGATTCACTCATGCACGCACACACACATGGGGCACGCACGTGTGTGAATGCAGTCACACGCACAATGCATGTATGCACAAATGTATGTGAGCAGCCCACCGCCAATTCCTAGCCCCCACCCCAAAATGGACACTTTAGAGCCATCCAAAGGCCAAGCATGACAAAGAATTCATAGTGGCAGTGGCCAGGGAGAGGACAGGCACAGGACTAGGATGGGAGGGTAGGGGAGACAGAGGGAAGCAGGGGGCATGGGACAGACCACCGAGGGTCTGCATGAGGCCCAGCAGGAGGTGGCCCCAAGGCCAAGTCCATCAGAGGCTGGAGAGGAGACCCCACCTCAACCCCCGCCTCTGCCATCGGGCTCCCAGAACCCTCACAGGAAGCTTCGCTCCCCACCAGGTCCAGGACACGGGGGCCACCACTCACAAGTTGTTCACGTCACTCTCTCCAGCCTCGTCCAGCTGCCGGTCACTCATCTGAAGGTTGCCTGGGAACCTGGGATTCTGGAGAGGAGGTGGAGGGGGGGAACCAGTCTTACAACTGAGCTAAGCCAACCACAAGCCCGCTGTCCACATGAGATGCAGGCCATTGCAGGCAGCTCATGCTCGCATAGGCCCCTCCCTGTGCTCAGGAGGTGGGGCTGGGTCCCTGGCCCTCACACCCACAGACCCTGACTGGACCACAGCAACGACCAACTGCTACCTGTCACCGGAGGCGAGGGCTCTGCCCCACTCCTCCAAGCTGGCAGGGGGGCCCTTCCCTCCAAACCGCACCCTGGAACATTCTTTCTTTCTTTTCTTTTTTTTGACAGGCAGAGTGGACAGTGAGAGAGAGAGACAGAGAGAAAGGTCTTCCTTTACCGTTGGTTCACCCCCCAATGGCCGCTGCGGCCACTGCGCTGCACCGCGCTGATCCGAAGGCAGGAGCCAGGTGCTTCTCCTGGTCTCCCATGCCGGTGCAGGGCCCAAGCACCTGGGCCATCCTCCCCTGCACTCCTGGGCCACAGCAGAGAGCTGGACTGGAAGTGGTCCGACAGAATCTGGTGCCCCAACTGGGACTAGAACCCGGGGTGCCGGCGCCGCAGGCGGAGGATTAGCCTATTGAGCCATGGCGCCAGCCAACCTTGGAACATTCTATGGATGCCCTCCTCGGTTCAATGGGTCCCTATGTGTAACGGGGGTGGGGGCAGCCAGCTCAGGGCTCCTGCTGTCTTTTGTCACCTCCTCCTGAAGCCGTGACTGTGAATTCAGGAAACGCAAACCCATTCTCACACCAGCTTTTGCATAAAGCATAACGAGTACAACAAACAACGGCAGGACAATACTACCCAATGCACACGCAAAGTCGAGAGGAAGGACTGAGCGTGGCTTGTCACTAACGTTTCACCCATGTGCTTGGTTGCAGTAGACGCAACCCAAGGCCGAGGGAGCCGGCCGCAGAAAGGCAGGGGGCCATCCTGTCATTCCAGATTGAATACTTCTGGCTCTGACAACAGGATGCCTGACACGAAGTAGCAGGGGCCCCGGGAGTCCACTGTTTCTGCTCTGCCTCAAGTCTACAGCAGTGGGTCTCCACGTGGGATCCTAGGGCCAGCAGCACCACCACCACCGGGGCGCGGGCTAGAAATGCACACTCCCAGGCCCCACCCCGGACCTGCGGGTGAGAGTCTGCGGGTGGGGCCCTGGTGACTCTGGATGGGTGGGAAAGCAGGGAGTCTTGTGGGGGCTACAGGTTCCCTGGAAGACCCGATGGTCAACCCTGATGGGGAAGACTCACTTTGGTGTGGAACTCCATCTTGGTTCTCAGCAGTTTGAGGTAGATGCTGCATAGCTGTCCGTAGCCCTCACTCAGGTGGCCCTGGGGGGAGGAGGAGAGAGCATCAGCTGACACCAGTCCGGGTGAGCCACCCACAGCCAGCACTCTGCCAGTGACGAGTCGTTGTTTTCTTAAAGATTTTCTTTTATTTATTTGAAAAGCAGAGTTACTGAGAGAAAGGGAGAAACACAGACAGACAGGGAGACATCTTCCATCTGCTGGTTTACTTCCCAAATAGCTACAATGGCCAGGGCTAGGCCAGACCAGAGCCAGGAGCTTCTTTGGGGTCTCTCACACGGGTGCAGGGGTGCAAGGACTTGGGCCATCTTCTACTGCTTTCCCAGGCCATAGTGGACAGCAGGATCAGAAGTGGAGTAGTTGGGACTCAAACTGGTGCCCATATGGGATGCCAGCACTGCAGGCGATGGCTTTACCCACTAAGCCACAATGTCAGACCCAGGAATCTCTTTTTCTGGGTCATGAAAATAACAAATGCCCACTGTTGAGAACAGGGAAAGTATGGAAGAGCACATCAACAAACCCCCACGCTCCATCTAACCACCGGCTGGAATGGCAACGACCACTCTGGGATTCTGAGGGCTCTTAAAAGAGGTGGTGGACGATACTATAAAAATAGCAGGTGAGGATTTGAAAAATGTTTTGCACCAAAATAAGCTTATCTTTTAATTCATTTTTCCATGAATTTCTTGATATCCTCTTGTATAACTTCCCTGTTAGTTTATATTTTCTTTCTTTCTTTTTTTTTTTTTTTAAAGATTTACTTATTTTACTGGAAAGTCAGAGTTACAGAGAGAGAGAGAGAGAGGTCTTCCATCCACTGGTCCACTCCCCAATTGGCCGCACAGCCGGAGCTGTGCCGATCTGAAGCCAGGAGCCAGGAGCTTCCTCCAGGTCTCCCATGCGGGTACAGAGGCCCAAGGACTTGGGCCATCTTCTACTGCTTTCCCAGGCCATAGCAGAGAACTGGATAGGAAATGGAGCATCCAGGACTTGAGCAGAGCCCACATGGGATGCCGGCACTGCAGGTGGCGGCTTCACTTGCCAAGCCACAGCGCTGGCCCTATATTTTCAACTCAAATGTATAACTTTTTTTTTTTTTTTTTTTAAGAGTACTTAGGGGGCCGGAGTTCTGGCTTAGCAGGTGAAGTCACCGCCTGCAGTGCCGGCATCCTATATGGGCACCGGTTTGAGTCCTGCCTGTTCTATTTCTGATCCAGCTCTCTGCTCTGGCCTGGGAAAGCAGTAGAAAATGCCCCAAGTCCTTGGGCCCCTGCACCTGCGTGTGGGGCCCTGAGGAAGCTCCTGGCTCTTGGCTTTGGATCGGCACAGCTCTGGCTGTTGTGCCTAATCGGTGAGTGAACCAGAGGATGAAAGACTTCTCTCTCTGCCTCTCCTCTCTCACTGTGTAACTCTGATTTCAAAGAAATAAATAAACCTTAAAAAAAAACAAAAACAAAAAAAAGAGCACTTGTGGGTGGGTTCACAGCAAAATCGAAGTACAGAGTTTCACATACTCAGTGCCCCCCACCCTTGGCAGCCTGCACCACGGCGGTGCGTTTGTCACAGCTGCTGCACCTACACTGATGCCGCTTACCCAAGAGCCACGGTTTGTGCAGGGTTCACTCTTCTGTTGGGATCCTAGAACTCTGACAAACACCTAACAACCTCTACCACGATCGTATCATATAGAGTAGTTTTATTGCCCTAAAAATCCTCTTTTTTCTATTTCTTATTCTCTAAAAAATGTATTTTTTAAAGATTTATTTATTTGAAAGGTGGGAATGACACCAAGAGAGGGACAGACAGAAAGAGAGGGAGAGGGAGAGAGAGAGATTCCTTCACTTTCCAAATGTTCACAATAGCCAGGGCTGGGCCAGGCCGAAGCCAGGAGCCAGGAACTCCATCTGGGTCTCCCATATGGGAGACAGGAACTCAAGTACTTGAACCATCACCTGCTGTCTCCCAGGCACATTAACAGGAGGCAGGATCGAAAGTGGAGCAGCCAGGACTTGAAGCAGCACTCTAATACGGGAGGCCGGTAGCCGCAGCAGTGGCTTAACCCACAGCACCGCAATATCTACCCCTCTGCCTTGATTCTTAGATAAATGGAATCCATTTCCTCCTTAATAGACTGCATTTTTCCCATCTCAACCCTTCTTCTGTGAGGTCATGTTCAGTGACTACTCAGAACCTGAACCATGATTACTTAAGAAGGGGAGTGGGAGCACCAAGAACCCTGCACCTGTGCAGCTGTGGCTGCCACACTCAGGTCTGATTTCTACGCTTCCTTTGACCTCTACGTCCTTGAGGGCAGAATAAAAGAACTGCATGGACACCTGTCTGATAGCACCCATGGGAGATGAGCAACCACAGGGGGCAGTGTTTTCACGCTGCATTCACTTTCTGCAAACACAACTCATTTATTTAATTTTTTAAAGATTTATTTTATTTATTTGAAAGGCAGAGTTACGGAGAGAGAGAGGGAGAGACACAAGAGAGAGGATCCTCTTCTATCCACTGGTTCACCCCTCAAATGGGCACAACAGTCAGGGCTGGGCCAGGCCAAAACCAGGAGCCAGAGACTCTACCCATTGTTGAATTCTTTGTTTAGTGGAGGGTTAAGCTTGTGCTTATAAAATAAACTAGAAGTCTGTCATTGTAAAAATTAAAAGAAAAAATAAGAAGGGAAGGAGGAAGGGAGAGGGAGGGAGGACAGGGTGGGAAGTATTATGCTCTTAAATCTGTATATATGAAATACATGAAATTCATTCTTCTTATATAAATTAAAAATTAAAAAAAAAGAAACGCCATCCAGGTCTCCTATGTGTGTGGCAGAAGCCCAAGTACTTGGGCCATCTCCTGTTGCTGTCCCAGGCACGTTAGCAGGGAGCTGGATCAGAAGTAGAGCAGCTGGGACTTGAACCAATACCTGCATGGGATGCTGGCATTGCAGGCAGTGGCTTAACCCACTATGCCACAGTGCCAGCCCTTCAAATTTGTTAAAAAATATTTTCATTTTGTTTGAAAGGGAGAGAAAGAGACAGACATCTTCCGCCCACTAGCTCATTATCCCTACATGCTCATAACAGCCAGGGCGGAGCCTAGCCAAAGCCAAGTACTAGGAAGCTTCATCTGGGTCTCCCGCATGGGAGCCAGAGACAGGCACTTGGGCCATCTTCCACTACTTTCCCAGACGTGTGTCAGCAGGGAGCTGGGTCAGAAGCGGAGGAGCTGGGACTTGAACCGGGCAGTCTGATACAGGATGTAATGTCTCAAGTGGTGACTCATCCACTACACCCAACACCTACTCCAACAATTCATATTTAATTCATCAAATATGTATTCATTATAGAAAAATTGGAAAGTACCAAAATAGTAGGAAAAGGAGTAAAAATATCCTCATCAAAGACAACCACAGTTAACGTGAAAATGTACAAGAAGGAGCCAGGATCCCACATCAGAGCCCTTTCAGGTCCCACATCAGAGCCCTTTCAGGTCCCACATCAGAGCCCTTTCAGGTCCCACATCACAACCCCTTCAGGTCCTGGCTGCTCTGCTTCCAACCCAGCTTCCTCCTATCTGCACCTGAAAGGCAGTGGGAGATGGACCAAGTATGTGGGTCCCTGCCACCCACAGGTAGATTAGGATGGAGTCCCTGGCTCCTGGCTCCAATATGGCCCAGCCCTGGCTATTGTGGTCATTTAGGGACTGAACCAGGGGATGGAAGCGTGCTTTCTCTCTCTCTCTCTCTCGCTCTCGCTCTCTGCCGCTCTTACTAAAAAAAAAAAAAAAAAAAAAAAAAAAAAAATCTCGGGGCTGGTGCTGTGGATTAAGCCACTGCCTGCAGTGCCGCCATCCCATTTGGGCACTGGCTCAAGTCCCAGATGCTCCACTTCCGATCCAGCTCTCTGCTATGGCCTGGGAAAGCAGTAGAAGATGGCCTAAGTCCTTGGGCCCCTGCACCCACGTGGGAGACCTGGAAGAAGCTCCTGGCGCCTGACTTTGGGTTGGCCCAGCTCTGGCTGTTACAATCATTTGGGGAGTGAACCAGCGGATGGAAAATCTCATTTTGTCTTTCTCTCTCTCTCACTCCCTCTCTCTGTAACTCTGCCTTTCAAATAAATAAGTAAACCTTTTAAAAAAAATCTAAAAAAGTAAAAAGAAAATGCACAAGGATCAAAAAGTAGAAGAAGGTCCTCCCTTCAGAGACTCTTAGTCACGAGGAGGAAACAGGCCCACAGGAGAAAGGCTTGGAGCTCTGAGTTCCAGGTGCCGGAGCCACACTGACAACTGCCAAACACGTTGGGTAGAACAGCAGAGCTTCTTCGAAGGCATTAATGAGTTGACAAGTGACTCAGGCCAGAGACTGAGGAGACACAGGTACTCAGGTACTCAGGTACCTGGGATGCTGGGATGAGAGGGTACAGAACACGGGGGCTTTGCTGCACCACACGAATCTGCACTTTGATTTTGCTGGCCCCTAATAGTCAGATGAAGGGGGCTGGTACTGTGGAATAGTGGGTTAAAGCCCTGGCCCACAGCCCTGGCATCTCATATGGGTGCTGGTTTGAGTCCCAGCTGCTCCACTTCTGATCCAGCTCTCTGCTATGGCCTGGGAAAGCAGCAGAAAATGGCCCAAGTGCTTGGGCCCCTGCACCCACGTGGGAGACCCGGAAGAAGCTCCTGGCTCCTGGCTTCAGCCTAGGCCAGCCCTGGTCACTGTGGCCATTTGGGGAGTGACCCAGTGGATGGAAGACCTCTTTTGTTCTGTCTCTACCTTTCTCTGTAACTCTGCCTTCCAAATAAATAAAATAAATCTTTAAAAAAAAAAAAGGTCAGGTGAGATCCCAGTGGGTGGCCTCTTTGGCAGAGGGCAAGGGTAAGTGAGGAAGTCCTCCCGGGAGTACAGGGAGAAGCTGTAGCCTCAAAGCCCTGCTGTGCTGAGAGAGAGGCCCACACCCTGCTGAGAACTGGACCCAGGAGCCAGCCCTCCAGGGGCTCCGCTGAGAATTCCTAACACTGGAAGCCGAGAATTTAATTCTGAGTGATCTCAACGGACGCAAACGCCAGCTCTCTCTGGAGGAAACCGGCTTTGTTACCAACTTTGGAGAACTCGCCACCAATAAGACCCCCAAGGAAAGTGAACAGTTCAGGGTGAAAAATCACTCAGCACAGAAGGAACCGACACACCATGAGCAAAATCTGCCCAAAGTGGTGGATGGTGGGAACAAAGCTCTGAGGACTTTAGATACTGCAATTCCAAGAAGTGATTTGTGAAATGCCAATGTTTAATACATCTGAAGAAATAAGATCGCTTCCCAATAAATACAAGACATTATAAGAGATATTCAGCAGATTTGAAAACAAGCAAAACAAACGTCAAGAAATCAACTCTACTAAAACTCAAAAACCTTTTAAGTACCACCTCTAAGACACAAGGAGATAGGAAAATTGGGGGCAGGTATTTGGAACAGTGGTTATCCTATCCAGTTCCTGCTCATGTGCTGGGAGGCAGCAGGAGATGGCCCAAGGACCTGGTCCCTGCCACCCACGTGGGAGACCTGGACGGAGCTCCTGGCTCCTGGCTTCTGCCCTGCCCTGCCCTGACTGTTGTGGGAATTTGGATGTGAACCAGTAAATGAAGATCACTCTTACTTTTCTGTCACTCTGCTTTTCAAATAAATAAAAATTAAATAAAACTTCAAGAAGCTCATGGAAAATGGAATTTAAAAATACCTTAAGTCAAAATATAGGAAAGTTAAAACTCAAAGGATTGGGTCTAGTGCTGTGGCGTGGCAGGAAAACCCAGCACCTGCCATGCCGGCATCCCACATGGGTGTTGGTTCGAATCCTGGCTGCTCCACTTCCAACCCAGCTCCCTGCAAATGCACCTGGGAAAGAAGCAGGAAATGGCCCAAGTGCTTGGGCCCCTGCACCCACGTGGGAGACCCGGACTATGGCCATCTGGAGGTGGGAATCAACAGATGGAAGATCTTTCTTTCCTTTTCTGTGTAACTCTGCCTTTTCTATAAATAAATGAGATAATTATTAAAATTAACATATTATTTTTTAATAAAACCCGAAAACGTTGATTCTCCGGGCACTGGCAGCCCAGAGGGCCCGGGGGAAGGGAATAGAGGCAGTGCCTGGCTGAGGGATCGCCGTGCCTGGACAGCAGAAGCTTCCAGGTCCTAACACTGCTCTGCAGCTCCTGGGGACCAGGTGAAGAAATGGACATGCTGGGCCCACCTTGGGGGGCATCCTCAGCCCATCCTGGACACTCTGGGCGGCAACCCTGGCCACGTGGAAAGAGACGACTGTGTTCCAGCCCAGTGGCCTTTGACCTCAGGGGAGGGGAAAGAGGAGGGAGAGCCGGTGGGCACCCCCCTCCCCGGCGCATCTCCGAACTCACCCACATCCTGCTCATGTCGCTCAGTTCATTCTTGTATCTCAGCGAGTCCTTCAGGACCTGCGGACAGAGAACACAGCCTCTGAGGGAGGAGCAGAGAGGGCTGGAGGGCAGACGAGAGGAGAGGGGGCGGCGTGGGTGCCCACGGCAGCCCCCGCCTGCAGCCCCGGGAACTCACGTGGGGGTGGCCGTCTCGCAGGAGCTTGTGGAACACGTGGCAGAACTTCCAGCAGAGCACGGCGTGGCTGGACAGCGGTAGCCGGCTGACGACTGACCAGAAGGTCTGCGCCCCTTTCTCGTGGTGGGTGCCCAGGATACATGGTGAGGACACAGTCATGGAAAACGCGCAGGCCACTCAGGGCAGCCAGCTCCTGGCGGGTGGGGCTCCTGCAGCTGGCCACCGCTGTGGCGAAGCAACCAAAGAGCTCGGCATTCATTCTGGCAAATTCTTTTTACGGGGGTGTGGGGGGGGTGGCAGATGGCAATCAAATGTGGTGTTCCAACAACATCCGCAGAATAAGACAACTTCCCTGGAGACAGCCGGGTCTCGGGAGAAGGGAGTCTCTGGCTTGCATGAGGGCCCTGGGGGTTGGCATCCTCCAGGTGCGCTCAGGGAGGGTGGTGCTCCCTGGGGAGGTGCCATAGCTAGCATTTTACGACTCATTATGGCTTCTCCAAGCTCTCTCTTCTCCATGATTAAACACGAGGGCCTGCCTTGGCATGACCCGGCCGGGGACCCCCCACGCCAGCATGCTAACTCTCCTGTCTCCTCCAGGCAACACTTTCTCTTCTCAAACATTTATTTTTTAATGTCTTTGAAAGGCAGAGTGACAGGGAGAGAAAGAGGTCTCCCACTTGCTGGTTCACTCCCTGAAAGGCTCCAATTACCGGAGCTGGGCCAGGCTGAGGCCAAGACCCTGGAGCTCCATCTGGGTCTCCCACGTGGGTGGCAGGGGCCCCAGCACTTGGACCATCCTCGGTTGCCCTCTCATGTGCATTAGCAGGGAGCTGGATTGGAAGTGGAGCAGCCGGGTCTTGAACTGGCGCCCACGTGCAATGCAGGTATTGAAGGTAGCACTCCCACCTAGGCAGCACTTTCATCTCCTCTCCAGCTCCCCAGCCCTGCTGTTGCCTTGAAAGCAGCACCTCTGTCTCCATAAACCCCACTTCTTCCTGAAGCACCCCCCAGCCTTGCTCAGGGGTGCCTTCCAGCACCTTGAACTGCCAGCAGGGGCAGTCCTGTGGCCGATGCTCCCCAGACCCAATTCCCAACATATCCACTGCCTGTAGCCTGCCCGCCATGGTCTGCATGGGGGCGATGTCCATGCTGCCTTGCGGGATGGTCGGTTTTACCAGCCAGGTCTGTCATTACCGAGCCTCTCTGGGAGTGCCCCCTAGAGGATTTCTGGGTGAATTTTCTAACTGTTGTCTACACCGGGCCAGCAGCGGGGCAGCGTGGATCTACCCTACTAAGCAACAGCTCTTTTCCCAGAATACCAGGCTTCTCTCTGAAGGCTCAGGCAAGAAGCACGGCGCCGCTCAGGGCAGAGCAGCACATCCAGAAGACGTGTCATCTTGCTCCCAAGCCAGACCGGCCCAGACACGGCCTTCGCCAGCTGGAACTTTTTGACAGGGGTGGGTTTGAACACAGACTTTTGGGTCTGGAAGCTGAGATCAGATTTTAGCCTTGGAGTGATTTCTTTTAAATTTTTATTTTTATTTTTTGATTTGCGAGCCAGAGAGAGTGCCCATTCACTGGTACACTCACCGAAATGCCCATGACAGTCAGGGCTGGGCCAGGCCAAAGCAGGGAGCTGGGAATTCAACCCAGGTCTCCCACATGGGTGGCAGAGACCGAAGCACTTGAGCCACGACCTGCTGCCTCCCAGGGTCTACACTGGCAGGAAGCTGGAGTTGGAAGCAGAGCTGGGACTTGAACCCAGGCACTCCAACATAGGATGCGGGGTCCCAAGCAGGTTTTCACTGCTGTGCCAAAGGTCCACCCCTTGAGTGATTTTTGAAACTAGTGATGGGTCCACCCAAAGGCCTTGCAGACTGGAAGGAAGCAGAGGAGAGAGGAGCCGCTCCCCACCCCGGCATGTGCCACCTGCTCACAGCTGGTTGTGGTTAACCAGACCCAGGAGTGGCCTCCACAGGAGCCAGGTCGGGGCACAGTCCCTCAGACACCCCATGCAAGAGGCCAGGGGACTTTTCCATGGTTCTTTGATTTTATACACATTGTTATGCCCCCGATCATGAGTTAGGGACCTTAAAGGGCATTCAGGGAGAAGAATAAGAAAATAAAGAAAGATTAAGACTCAGACCCCGGCCCTGCAGGAGTGATTCCACGGTGCGGACCCAAGCTGTGTATCAGTCAGGTGTCTGCAGGAAATCCCTGTCTGGGCAGCGCTTCTGGCCTCTCTACGAAGCCACAGAGCCACGACGCTGGCTGCCCACGGCCTCGGGGACCATGGCAAACTCGGAGAAGGGCCCTCCAGTCGCCGAGTCCCCTGTCCACTCCGAGGCTCCTGTCTTCTCCTCTGGGACTCTGGGACACACACTGCACCTGCTCACGGGGCCGACTGCCTCTCAGCACCGAGCCCCTGCCCTGGTGTCTGTGGAGACTTTGGTTCCTATGCTCAGAAAAAGGGGGGAGGAGATGGTGCCCCCTGAAGTTGGGGGGGGGCAGTGTAGCCCCGGGGGGGCCTTGGACAGCACAGGTGGGAATCCCCCCAAGATGGGCCTCGGAGCTGACCTGCAGGTTCAGCGGATTTGGTCCTAGGGGACAGGGGCAGGATATTGGCAAGCTGATGGCCTCACTGGCGCCTTCCAGCCTGCCAGGCTGTGGGTCCAGGAAGCCACCTGCGGAGCCTGGCCCAGGTGGGGCTGAGCGGAAGAACCTGGCTGTGACCTCTGTCCCCATCACCTGACCTTCCCCCCCACCCCCCCGGGTGGGGGTCGGCTTTCCAAGCAGCATCCGAAAGGATATTTCTGGCGTGTTTCTCCTTCACTGCCACTTCCTGCGTATTAATGGCCTTATTGATGCTGACGGTCTGGAAAACAAGAGGGGGAGGGGCAGCAGGAAGGGATGAATGAGCCTCTGAGTGGTGGAGACCCTCCAAGACACCCTGCCCCCTCCCCTCCTCCGTGAGCCTCAGGCTTGGCGACCGGCCCCTCGCCCAACACACACACACAGTCCTCCAACTGGAGGTGGCCTCTCCGCCGGTGCCCAGCTGGGGGCAGAGGTGGGCAGCACTCCCAGGGCCAGCTGGCCCAAGCTGCCTGGCAGTGGCTGTGCCCAGCTGCCGCGCCCGCCTGCCACTCATGGGCTTGGCACAACAACACGGCAATTAAAGCCCACACAAAGGGATGCTTTTCATCCCCAGGGAGACATGATCCCTCCGGGAGCGGGAGGAAGAGGCGCCGGGATCAGGGAGCCACTGTGGCCGGAGAGTGTCCCTTGGAACCCGCCCGGGGCCCTTCTGCCACCGCTGGCGCTGGCAGTGGCCGCCCTGTAGCCCTCATTTCCTACTGTGGGGTGTTTTTCCACTCCCAGGCAAGTGCCCCATGACTTCCTTAATTACACCCAAGGATGTGAAAAATATTCACTCCTAGCCAGTCCTTTTAAAAATCACAACTCTCTTCAGTACGGATACACACACACACACACACACACACACAGAAGGGGTTAATCCTGTCACTGCTCAATGGGGTTGGCAGGTGTACATTCTTCTACATCTTGTTTTTTTCTGACTTGAAAATATCTCACAGAATATTCTCCAAGCAGACTGTAAAACTCTAGTTCATTCTTTAAAAAGCATGCTATTTGACGATGTGGGTGGGCGTGACTGATACAAGCATTCCTGTATTTATAGGGCATTGATTCATTTCCAGGGTTTTTTTTTTTTTAATTTTAACCACTGTAACTATTTTTGTAAACCCTGTTATAAAAGACTTATTATTTGAAAGGCAGATTTACAGAGAGAGGGAGAGAGTCAGAAAGAGATCTTCCACCCACTGGTTCACTCCCTAAACTGGAAACCAGGAATCTGGCACTCCATCTGAGTCTCCCATGTGGGTGACAGGGGCCCAAAAACACTAGGCTATTCTCTGCTGCTTTCCCAGGTATTAGCAGGGAGCTGGACTGGAAGTGGAGCAGCTGGGACTGGAATCAGTGCTCATATGGGATGCCAGCATGGCAGGCAGTGGCTTCCCCCACTGCGCCACAATGACAACGCCAGCCACTACGTGTGCCCTTGCTAGTGGACGCTTTAACTTTCCAAGGGACAGATTCCTGGGAGTGAAATGACTGGGGAGATGTTTGTGTTTTTCTTTTCTTTTGCTTTTTTAACCATTCCTTATGGAAAAAGCTAGACCAATATACAGGTCATTTGGATAGTCACGACAGTCCCCAGCATCAACTGTGTGAACTTGGCCAGGCTCATTTTCCATGGATGAGGGGTCGGCCAAGATTTTCTTCGAAGACCCAGATGGTAAATATGAGAGGTCTTCAAAAAGTTCATGGAAAAATGCATTCTATGGGATGTGCTGTGGCTCATTTGGTTAATCTTCTGCCTGCGGCACTGGTCCCATATGGGCACCAGGTTCTAGTCCTGGCTGTTCCTCTTCCAGTCCAGCTCTCTGCTGTGGCCCGGGAGTGCAGTGGAGGATGGCCCAAGTGCTTGGGTGCCTACACCCGCATGGGAGACCAGGAGGAAGCACCTGGCTCCTGACCGGTGGTGCAGTTCTGGCCGTGGCGGTCATTTGGGGGGTGAACCAATGGAAGGAAGACCTTTCTTTCTGTCTCTCCCTCTCACTGTCTGTACCTCTACCTGTCAAATAAATTTAAATAAAAAAATGCATTCTATGAGGAACTATGTGAGTTTCAAGATTTGTGGCACCAAAATAAACTTACCATTAATTCCATTTTTCCATGGAGTTTTTGAAGTCCTACATATTTTAGACACTGCAGGCCACATAGTCTCCATGGAAACTATTCAACTCTGCCACAGAATACTAAACAGATACTTAAATAAATGAGAGTGGCTACATTTCTGTAACATTTTACTTCTAAATCCACTTGGTGGGGCAGGAGCTGTGGTGCACTGGGTTAAATGCCCAGTCTGCAGTGCCCACATCCCATGTGGACGCCAGTTCAAGTCCTGGCTGTTCCACTTCTGATCCAGTTTCTGCTATGGCCTAGGAAAGCAGTGGAGGATGGCCCAAGTGCTCAGCCCCTGCACCCACATGGGAGACCCAGAGAAGCTCCTGGCTCCTGGCTTCGGATCAGCCTAGCCCTGGCCATTGCAGCCATTTGAGGAGTGAACCAGCGGAAGGAAGACTTCTCTTTCTCTCTGCCTCTGTCTCTCTGTAACTCTGCCTTTCAAATAAAAATAAAACTTAAAAAAACCAACAAACCACCATGTGGTGGCTTCGTTTCATCCTGCAGCTGTAATTGGCTGACCCCTGCTCCCCGCTCCACAGCAAAAGCTACTGACTCCTATTCCTTGGATTTTTATTTTTTAAATTAAAAATTTATTTGAAAGGCAGAGAGAGAGAGAGAGAGAGATAGAGATAGAGATATCTTCCATCCACTGGTTTGCTTCCCAACTGTGCACAACAGCCAGGCCATGGCTAAGCCATGGCCAGGAGCCCAGAGCTTCAATCCGGGTCTCCCAGGTGGGTGGTGGGGACCCGAGGACTTGGGCCATCCCTGCTGTTTCCCTGGATGTGCATTAGCATGAAGCATAACTGGACCTCAGACCCAGGCACTCTGATATGGGATGCAGGTGCCCCAAGTGGCATCTTAACCATTGTGACAAATGCCCGCTCTCTAGATTCTTCTTCTTCTTCTTTTTTTTTTTTTTTTTTTGACAGGAAGAGTTAGAGAAGAGAGAAAGGTCTTCCTTCTATTGGTTCACCCCCCCAAATGGCCGCCATGGCCGGCACTCTGTGCCAATCCGAAGGCAGGAGCTGGGTGCTTCCTCCTGGTCTCCCATGGGGTGCAGGGCCCAAGCACTTGGGCCATCCTCCACTGCACTCCCTGGCCACAGCAGAGAGCTGGTCTGGAAGAGGGGCAACCGGGACAGAATCCGGCGCCCCGACCGGGACTAGAACCCAGTGTGCCGGCGCCGCAAGGCAGAGGATTAGCCTAGTGAGCTGCAGCATTGGCTTGGATTATTCTTAATACTAGATGTCATATAATTTATCAGCGAGTCACCACTGCAGCCGGGTGACAGTGAGAGACTAAACACTCAGGTAAGATCTGGTGGCTTCCAGGTCCCTTTCATATTTTTAGACGTTGGAGGGTCTGGGCTATCATTGCAAGAAGTGAGGGTCTGAAGGGGGCTGGGGAGCCACAGGAGAGAGGCCTGTCACCAACACCCACGCATCCTCCGGAATGCAGAGTTCCTCCTCCAAGGTCCTGGGGAAGGAAAGTGCGGGGCGAAGTCTACGCAGGTCCCTCCCCCCCCCCCCATTTCAGCCCAGGACACACGGCAAGAGCCTAGGCGAGCACGGGGTTCTGGAAAGAAGTCTCTTCCTAAGCCCACGGCTACAAGGCATCTGCCAGCCCTGCCTGCCCCTGGCCAGGGCCGCCCCAGAGCCTCCTCCCGCAGCCCCCGCAGGCAGGCCCCCAGGAGCCCTGGGTTACCGCAGCCAGGGTTCCCACTGTTCTCCAAGTCAGCGGCCATGCCCAAGAGGCAGAGTCCATGCCAGCGTCCAGTTCCCGTGGCAAGGCCTCCCGGGGCTTGGAAGCACAGAGGTAGGGCTGAGCTCTTGAGGCTCTGGGCTCTTCTTGAGAGCAGGCTCTGGGCCCTCGGGGCATCAGACACCAAGAGGTTTCCAGGACACAAGTTCCCTGCCAGGGCCCATGTCCTGCTGCCTGGGGGGTGCCACCTGTCCACCATCATCCTCCGTCATACACATCTCCCCGCCCTCCTGCACTCTGAGCCCTGCCCCACCCTAACAGCCCAGACCTAACTTGACCTTGTTTTAGACTTGCCAAGCTACTTGGGCCAACTACACTTTTTTTTTTTTTTAAAAGGAATTCCAATTCCTCCTAACGTGTTTGGCATTTCATACATGGGCACTTCCAAATGTTTGTGGAAACACAGAATAAAAAGGTCATTTTCTACTAAGTGCAAAAAATAAACAAAGAAAAAAAAACTTGCAAAATTCATGCATAGTTTTTTCTATAACACACATTCTCTAGGAACTTTCTGAAAACCCCCTTGTAGAGGTCAAAATACTTGCACCGGGTTTCAAAATACATTTGCACCAAAGTAAGTTTATCTTTTAATTCCACTGTCCGGAACCTTCCGAAGCACTGGTGTACACTGCCTTCTCTCTCCAGCAAGATCCAAATCCCAAGGGCAGGGACCCGGCTTCCTCCTTCCCCGTGGGCTGGTGGTATCTAATTAATCCCTCCCCCAGCCCAGCTCCCTGGGACAAGCAACAGGTGCAAGAGTTGCGGCCACTTGAGACAGTCTGTTCCCTCTCCCTCCCTGCACCCGGCCTGGACGGGGTCTGAGCCGGCCCTGGCCCTGGCCCTGGCCCACCCGCAGGCCGGTGTGGGGGCTGGGGTGTCCTAGGACAGAGGGTGGGAAGTGGGGGCTGAGGGTCTCACCTCTGGAGGGGGGCCCACGTTAGAGGACATCCTCTAAGGACAGGCTGTTCTCCTGATGCCCCTGCAGTCACACGGGCCCTAGGACCAGCAGCGCCGGCCCTGAAAGGGGGCCATTGTGCAGCACTTCCTGCCCCAGCTGGCCCTGGTGTCCCGCAGCGGCAGTTCCGGAGAGCCGATTAGCGGCAGGCGCCACAGGAAGGGCGGCTTTCTCCCAGCCTCTTCCTCCCTCCCCGGCCCTCCCCGCCGCCAATGGGAATCCTGCAGGCCTGCGGGGCCAGCTGGGCACCGTCTGGTCACGCACACAGCTCCTGGCAGGGACCCAGCTCTTGGGCTGCCCAAGGCCAGGCTGGCCGCTGAGGGTTTCCGGGGCAGGGGTGGTCAGCATGGCTATGCCTGGGGCGGGGGCGGCAAGACCTGAATGAAGCC